TATCCAACTTTTTTGTCTAGCATGTCACCCTGTAGTGGTGTTTAAGCCCCCACTCCTCAAACAAACAAAAAAAATCACGAGACAGATGAAGGAAATTAATATACGATTCCCTATCCAGCCTGAGCCCCCCCCCCCCTCCCTCCCCCGCCCTCCACTTTTTGTTCCAGAACCACTCCTGATGACACCCTATCCCTTTTTACATTTTACGACTGCTGATCAATCCGGTTCTATAGCGACCAGGAGGTGAATTCCTTCTTCGAATCACGTAGCCCGTCACTTCGGTATTTCACAGGCCTCTGGCCTCTGCCAACCAAGACAGGGACGTACATTTGGGGTTAGTTTTTGATCCCCAGGAGTTTTCCCGATTAATATGTAAATATATTTCCCCCTCTGAATACCATGACTGTTACAAATACACTTTCTTGACGTGAAGCAGTTCTTAAATGGGAAGCGACAACCTTTGATTTCTATAGAATGAGTTGTTTACCCCCACATTCGGTATTCGTGTCTAATTAGGAAGACTTGTTCTACTCATCTATGGACCCCGATTAGCTGTCCTTGTCCATGCAACTTAATGTAACTAAAAATAAAATCACTTCAAAGAGTCTTCTATTTTTTTTTACATTTCCCTTCATGACTTTGCACTTCAAGAAAATTGCTGCAAAACCGCATTACGGGATAGAGATACTATGGTAATGACCTATGAAGAGATCATTGGATTATATTAATCCGAGCTTGTAGAGATATATCATGTTCGATAAAACAAACGCTGCATAGCATACAATTTTGCAATATTTGTAGATGTTACACACCCAAAAATTACGTGCCAGTGTTATGTGGAAAACATTCATGAACCTAAGGTTAATTGACGACAAGCATAAAGCGGCTGTTCATCGCGTCTATCCTGTTTCACAACCCAGCCAATAGCAACTGGTAAATGAATAATGATAACGCCTTTGATACTCATTTACAGCTAGTATGGCAACAAAACGGAAAAGTTACCGGTAGTTTCAAGATCCTATTCCACTTTTCTTTCGCAGTATAGATTGTTTTTCTTCGACAGAGCTCGAATGGAAATTGACTCCACTTTTTTTTTTACCGGAAGCATTACACAGTATACCTGGAGGATTAATTGTACGGTAATCAGTCAATTCACCGAGGAAGTCAAAACGAACCGCACATCAGGTTATTTATGCAGAAGACATCTGTGTTAGAACGAAGTTGTAGTAGTAAACATCGTTTTGTTCGTCGCACACTATTTGATCTGTTACTTGAAACCAAACTGCTGTTTTCACCTCGCAGGTGTAAATTGTAAGGAATTTGAATCATGATTTCATTTTGTATATTTCCATTGCACTGGTTTATCCTACTCAACTGTTTTGACACTACGGTGCCCCTAGTGATCCAATTGTGAGAATATTTAGTTGCTCGTGACACTAGAGAGATTGGATTATCTTTTACTTGATTTTTCTGATTACGTGGATTCATCATTGGAAACAATATTCGGTATATCTCTCCCACGTGGTTACAGATATTGTGTATTGATACATTTGTTTAAATTTCGGGGTTAACGTTATTTAAATGTGACGTGTTATCATCTCAAAATAGTGGAACTCTGTGGAACAAGGACATTTGCTCTGAGTTTTGACTTGACCAGAATCAATAGCCCCACACGGATATCAAACTCCTGGTAGCCTTCATTAACCCAGTGGTTAAAACATGAAGTAACAAATATTCCTCTTGAAAAATAAGTAAAACTGCAAGTCCGTATAATCAAATCGGATCGCATACTACTCAGTTTCTTCAACTACATTCATGGAATAGGCTAATTAATGGAACACTGAACAAGATATTCGTATATATTAGATGGGCCTAGCGATCAGATGTATTCTTGTCTTGTTTTGATGTGCAATGTTGACGGATCAACGCGGATATTTCCGTATTTCCTGATGAGCTTACTTACCTTATCAAAAGACTCGTGGTGTAGCAACGGTGCATTGTCTAGTATATAACTACATCACATTTTGAAGTCGTCCTTTTCCAAGATAGTTCCGACTGAAACCCTTACAAAGAACTGAAAAGACCCAATAATGGAGAAGCTTCTAACTCTGGTGATTTCTGTCACCGTGGTAAGGTTTTCCCGTTTCTGCCATCATGTTTGAAATGTCGTGGTAAAGTGATTAATACCGATCCCGTACACATTTTTTTCTTCCTTCTATTAATTAAAACTGTATGCTTCGAACTTGTTGCTGGATTTATCTTGTGCTTGCCCATATAACATTGTTGTTTTTGTTTAAAGATGTATTTCTCAGGAAAAAACTGAATGCATCTAAATATCATCAATTCATTGTAAATGTCTTAGGCCAGAAGTCTCTAAGCCACAGTTATTCGGTTAACTTGGTTTATGTCTGTTCCTTGTATTCCAGTGGTTACATGTTATATAGTTGTACATTCTTGTTCTGTTTCTGAATTGTAATATATTTGCTTTGGTAAAATATTGATTGATATTGAGATTTGTATTGATGGTAATAATGAAGAACAATAACAACAAATAGCAAGAAGCAAATTAGTAATAATAATCATAGGCCTAATAATAATAATAATAATAATAATGATATAAATAATAATAATAATAATAATGTTATTAATAATAACAATTGTAATATGATTAATAATAGTTGAAGAAGAACACAATACTTGATTAATCTAATGATCGGATGTCAATTGTTTGGATAGAGCTACAGAGCTAAAAGAAATTAAGTTGTTTTTATTTATTCTCTATAACTTCTATCAAAATAATTTGCTAATAGTCGGCAGAAGATCAAAGTCATTTATTTAAACATATGTGTGGCTTACACCCGGTAAATAAGATCGATTGATCGATCTGTAATTGAAAAAATTAGTCAGAAAAAATCTTGGAACCAGCGGGACTTGAACCTGCATCTACTGCTTGCCGGGCAGCGACTCTACCACCAGGCCTTCACTGGTCCTTGGCACAGTCACGATGAACTAGAAACAAATACCCAAGCTCTTCCTGATTCATTCTGACTTGTTTTTCAATTACAGAACGATCAATCGATCTTATTTATTGGGTGTAAGCCACAAATATGTAACAATAATTGAAATTTCCCCCCTGAAGCATTACATTAATTAAAAAAAAAGGAATTCATGTAATACATTCTTCATGTGCTCATGTGTATTTTCAACATTTCCCAACAGGTTTTAATTTCATGCCTGCTAGTCGTTGGAGAAAGCGACGTGAGGAACTATGGTGGTAAGTTCTTCGCGTTCAGTTTTTTGGCAGACGATAAACCTGCTCGGAGTAAGGAAACACCATGTATGATCGATCTCATCGCGGCCGATAACAAGAACTCGACCATCCATGTGACCATCCCCGGAAGGAATTTTGACCTGTCTTTAGTCCTTCCGCCAGGTCAGGTACAACGGGTGAACCTCAGCCTTGGAAACTACTATCTCTTTGGCAACGAGAATGCCACTGTGATCGTCAACTCCACGGGAAGGGTCGGGGTAGTAGCACTTATGGAACTGTTGCGTCCATCTGCCGCCTTCAATGTTTTACCAGCAGAATATACTGGGACACACCATGTCATAGCTAACAATTTTAACACAAGAGACACTCAGTTTACCATAACCTCTCTAGCTGATAACAACACAGTCCGTGTATACACGGCACGGGATATGAAATTTACATGTGATCACGTTGGTGGTGCCCCTGATAATGCTTCGGTTGTGTTGTGGAAGTACGATACCATGTTCTGCAGAGGCGAAGGTGTTGATCTGACAGGAACCTTTGTGACTTCCAAGTACAATGTTTCAGTCGTTGCCGGTGGGAGGGTCCAGTTTTTCGGGGATCGTGAGAGGAAGGGGTATGTCATGGAGCAAATGCTACCCCAAAGAGCCTGGGGGAAACACTTTGCCGTTGCACCATTCGCAAACATCAACGAGTCGAACTACTTACTCAAGTTTTTAGTTCCAGAAGGTGTAGTAGCAAATGTTACAATTAAAGGTTTAAATTGGACATCCGACTTCATCGTTGAAGGACACCCCAACGTATGGTTTAATGACTCGAGAGCATTTGATCAAGTCGTTGAGATAATTGCAAACGAGTCTGTTTCAGTCATGCAATATATGACGGGAACTTCCGAGCGTGCTGCAAGTTTCCGGAGCGATCCAAGTATGTTTAACGTTCCCCCAGTGTCACAAGCTAAACATAATCTTCTCGTCGATGTTTTCCCATGTGAAAACGAAAATATCATAAACATCATCACTAAATGCACGCATGTAGCTGGACTGCAGGTGAACGGTACAGATCTCAAAGTGGATGATGGACGTGTAATATCTATTTTGAACGGAACAACGTATTGCGCCCTCTCATACGAGCTTGAAGCGGGTCTTCACTGTGTGTCACACAAGAACCCTGAGGCATCTTTCCAAATTATATTATATTCCTGGAAAATAAAATCCCAGGGCCAGAATGCGTACGCCATGGAGGCTGCTTTGGACGTACCATCAGATTACCCAACGTGTATAGCAGTCACCGGTAAGCATAGCATATTACAATACAAAACAATATTCTACGTCTCTGACTTGTCAAAACTCTAGGCATAGAATTTGCTATTGACCACCACACCGTGCGGTAGCATACAAATAATACACATCAATGAGGGCATTAGTAAGAATTACCCACACAAAATACGTTTGGAACAGTTTAACACGCCTGAGGCGGTAGCCAAGGGTGTTTGGACTGTTTTGAAGATACCAAGTGTGGGTAATTTTAGTAATGCCCGAACAAAATCATGTGTATTATTTGTTTTATAAGATTATGTTTTATTTGTTTTGTAAAATGATATTTTATAACATAATCTTACTAATGACCGGTAATTTGGCAAAATCAATGCCTGGACACGTGTACGCTCTCAACCAATCATTTGATTAGGATCCACGTCATCATCTTATTATACAAATTATTTCCTGGGCACTAACTCAAACACGAGAAACTCACATGAAGTGCATCTGGGCAATACAAAACGTGTACTAAAAGACGTTCTTTCAGTTCCTTTTTTCAAGAGTAATAGATTAAATTTCATTTCTAAGGATGCGATATGAAAAGTAGATATGTACTGCTAACCTTTATACGGTTATAATTAAAACTGAAGCCTACCCCTGACCTTGAAATTGTATATCACAAAGCAATCATGACTGACAATTGTTTCCACCGTTCCACTCAAATTATGCACATATATATTATGTTACAATTATAAGTCACTTATTAATGTGTACATACACTTATATTGACACGTTTGTCACTGTATACACGATTCTATCAAATTCAAATTGAAAGAATGTTCTATGAAACTGACTGAAAAAAATGCAAGAATGGCAGGAAAACCTTTAGTTATAACGGTAGTACATGATAAAACAAAACGTTAATCATGATAATAATAATGATAATGATAATAACAATAATGATATTATTATTATTATTAATCTTTATTATAATTATTATCAGTATCCTAATCATTGTTTTCATTATCATCATCGGTATTATAATTGATATCATTAATATCAATATGATTTATGTCATTATGTTAATAATGCTTCATTTATCGCGGCTAATAAAGAAATGATATACTCCAACTGTGATGTACAAACACATACCCAACACACACACACACACACACACATACAGCAACCCACACACATATTCTGCAAGTAACCTTGGAACTCAATCTATCATTAACACAACGGACTTGCCCGCATGCTCCTTTTATTATTAATTATATTTAATGGCTTGTGTAGAAACGACGGAGTAAATAGGATCCGGAAATACTTCAAAGGCCTTTTATCCTAAACGATTATACCACTCTGAGAGTATGCATATGTATATAATATATGCGGTTTCCTATTTTTAACCACACACACAGTATATTACTTGTTTATCTGTTAACTGTAAGGGAAGAACGAATGTTTTGCTGAGTCGTGATATAATTTAGCAATGTGAATTTATTTCAGGTTCATTTCAATTACAATTTAAAAGTTCTCAGATGTATCCATTAACTAATCTTTATGCTCTCGTCAATAAGTGATGTGAATGAAAGAATAATTATGAACTAAACAATCAAATACACACAAATACGATGTTTGCGACTCATATCGTATGTTCCAATTGGCAAGAACAATTTGAGGAAATTTATGAATCCGAGGCATAGACTAGATTAATATATTTTTAATTTACGTACAGTGCGAACATTAAAGCAAGTGTGATGTCCCTTATTACTATTTGTAATACTTTTTCTGAGAGGTATCAAGTCCGAAATCATCTTTGTAATTATAAGACAGGATGGGTTTTTGTTTAAATAAATATCATACAACGTTATGTTTCGCCCTCTACCCTCTGAAATGTATGTCGGCAAAAGAACAAAGTCGATTGTGTATATAATCGTCATGTCAACGTGGTTTTCGTCTACCTACTGACGACTATGATAATCATCTCAACAAAATATACCGAGGTCAACCAATGTGGGTAACTTACATTTAATGCTCGAACAAAACTCATTCGGGCACATTCCCTGTTTCCCTACAAGAAAGAATCTAAACTTCTATATGTCTCTTAAAAGCGATAAATTAGTAATGATACGATACTCTGGGGTGTAGTTCAACTTGACTGAAGTCTCCTGCGTTGCGTCGTGGACCAACCCGAAGAATTAAGGTTATCAAAATGAACAAGAAATCGTCTGAAATGTTAACATACTGCACAGTCCGATAGATTTTGTTGTCACGATGACGATTTTAAAGGGGGAAATGCATTCTGTCACCATTTAATTCGTCATTTGCTAGAGGAATATATATTTTGATAATAACCATTATCATAATTACCATTTTGTTTCCAAAACCTAGAAAATGTTAGTATCATCGAATACTTCTGTTCACAGAGCGGAAAATTTTAAAGAAAAGTTTGGGTAAAAAAAAGGTATTAAAAAAACGCTTCCCCAAGATACGGACAAGTTTGTGTATATCATTACATTAACAATCAGCGGTATTATTTGCTCGACGTTTTTCTTTTATCTCTTGGCCAAATATGATCAACGTTTACTAAAAATAACTGAGGAGAACAAAAAATGAATATGAGTTAACAAAATTATTGCCAAAGTGTTTGTCGGACAAATAATGCCCTCTTTTTACCGCCCCACCCTTCCCCATTTTCATTTCTCAGATTATGTGATTTCCTTGTTATTATCATAATTTAGAAAATGAAATACATAAAACGTTTCGCTAACAGTACACTTGTTATGCATTTAAAATTGAAAGTAATGGTTAACTCTTAATTTGAATTGTGTGCCTCTTTGACATGTTCATACGTGTATCTGTATTTCAAATATTCATTTATTACCAATACAATTAAGAATCTTTGACCTAAGAATCGAACTGTATATTTTTGTTCTAATGTATTTTTGTATTCATCCATTTATACACAGATGAAAACCCAGCAAGCCAGGTAAATATATACACGCTTCAACTTTTTTTCATTGTTTTTTTTTTTATTTTCAGGACTCAATTGAATGCATCTTTAATAGAATTAAAACCAGAATGTTGCTGCTGATTTCCATATATGACGATATGAAGTGTAAAATTATTTCTTTTTCTTTTTCACAATGATAGAATTTGAATTCTTAAATAGTTTAGTCAACTACTTTCTAGTCAATTTTTTTTTTTAAATTAGGGGTTGTATCAATTATTTTACTCATTTTTGTAGGGTTATTCATCGTAAAATCATGAAAAATATTCGTATTTTAATTGCTGGACATACCACAAACATTTCCCCGTGTTTAGCTGAAGATTAGACAGAAAACATGTTTTTCTTGTTGCAAAGCTTCCGGGAACTTTTTTGTTAAGTGTCCTCAGCTTTCGTCGTAAAGAAACAAAATTCTCGTTATTCTGTTCAGTGACCTATTCCCTGTGTTATGAAGACAACATGATAATTTGATTTGCAGATCATGTTTCACTTATGTCTGTTATATTATATTGGACTGTGAGTGGCGACTTTGCGAATGACATTGAATTCAACACGAACATGAAACGAAATGGAATAAATGAGGGTTGGTATCAACTTCATGTATACACAATGCATTCGTTGATGATACGTCAATGGCAGTGACAGTTCGATAACGCTTTCCTGCTAGACGTATAATAATACAGCATAATATACCACGCTGAAACAAATAATGAATTAGTAAGAATCGTCCTTGTATTTCCAAAATCTAAGTATTACTTAGAACAATGGCATGATGGTTTACGATACATTGTCAAATCAGGAAGTAAGGCATGACAACAATACATCCGCCATCCTTCCAGGAATGGAATGAGTGTTGAAGAGTTCAAAAGTGTCCGATAGAAATTCGCCAGTAGGATCGGTCCTCAAAAGCAATTCCATCAACACTAGAACAATTTAAACAGAGTTTGAGAACATGTCTATCAAGAAACAATGTGTATTCCTTGATCTCACATTATCACTGCTTTAATCAATAACATGTATATTGCCTCTAACACTGACTCATTCATAACATCACAAAGCGCGTTGTAACCAGTCGAAAAGGCGCTATATGAATTGCAGTTATTATTATCATTTTGTTTAGGTTGAGTTTAAATCATCATGATAGTCTTGATTACAATTTTTAAATAGCTTTTATATACTTCGCAATGACACAGAAACACACAGACCGTCTAAATACGGTATACGCTCACCTGCGCCATCACTGAAATACTCATTAATTATTCTTTCTTTTACAAGCAGCTCCGATCCAGTATTGCTGATTTGCAAGAGGAAGATTACTGTGGAAATGATACCGTAAGTTATAATTCATTCTACTTGATAAACCTTCAACATCTGACTGTCACTTTTCTGCAAAAAAAAAATTGTATATTTCATTTAAATTTGTCTTTCCTCTGAGAAAGATACTATGAGTTAAACGAAATGTAATTGTCCTTTCTGTAATAATAATAATAATAATTACAGTGTTTATATAGCGCCTAACACTTACTTTGTCAGAAGTCTCTAAGCGCTCTACAATAATGCAGCATAATTACCCTGGCTTTAGCAGTGCAGCTGTTACGCGCGCTGCGTTTCAAGGAATAAATTCCTACCAGGTACCCATTTACTTCACCTGGGTGGAGTGTGGCAAATGTAGATCAATGTCTTGCCAAAGGACATTAGTGCAGCGGCGGGACTCGAACCGCGGACCTTGTGATCGACAAAATAGATAACAAGATAAAAATCAAATCCTGTCAAATACGCATTTGTTAGTATTAATATAATTTTAATGATAGGCTGTAAGCATTGTAGGAGGAGCTCAGCCGTCATCATCAACATTTTGTTTGTCGTTATGGGTACACAGATGTTCGGTTTAAATGGAAAATTTAAAGTTCTCGAAAAAATATTCAAACAAAGTTCAACATTGATCTGTCTCTTGATATTTTTAGTCTTTTAACCAGCCTGCAAGTATTGCCATGGAAATAGAACAACTAGCCATGGACATGACAGCCACAATGCTTAAAGAAGGGACACCAGACATCTTCCAGGATCTGGGAGTTGCAGGTAAGAAAGCCCCAGCCCCATTTCATCCACACGTCATATTCGCTCGTAGTCCAGTTTACTGGTTCCAAACAGCAAATCCTGCGCATGAGGTTCAACGCGAAAACATTCAAGCAACGGGCTCGAGCACGAACATCTCAGTGTTTAGCTCTGTCGTGAACACAACGCTAATGTTAAGCACAAATTGTTTGGAACCAGCTAATCAGCCAGTCGGGAACTTGGCTAATATGGCGTCACATCTCTATATTCTTTTTTAGTGATATACCACCTTGCCCTTTAAAGAAATTCTGATTTCGTCAGATAAAAAATATAATAACAAAATAAAAATAGAACATCAATGGCGCTACATCCAACAATACAATGTGATTCTATCATCATCCTTGAATGTGCAAACGCCATTGTGCTTTCAGACAACCACGAATGAAAAGGAGATAATCCACACAATTGACAAAATTACCAAAATATGAGACGGACAAATAACCAGTGACGGTCGCCACAGAGCAGCGCCCAAAAGGGGAAAAAAAATTGATAAGAAATTCCGATATTTGATTCGACAGGTAGACCCTTTACCGATAGGGCTAACTCGCCTCCTCCAGAAAAGTTCGAGGAATGGCCAATATGTTACCAAGTATTATGACAATTCATGCAATATATTTTTTAAAAATAAAACTGAGGGTACTTGTGATCTTTTGGAGTCATATTACAAGTTGTTTAACCCTCGGTTTATTTACTTCGCAATGTAACATTTAGAAATCCAGACCTCAATGCGAGAGAAAATTACTTCTTGGTAAGAATTAACTTTTCAAAGAAAGAAGGTTATTTTGATCGCTATCCCCTTAATCTGAGATTCGTACAAGTTGTACTTTCATTGCAGACGAAAGTACAACTACAGAAAATGAAATATTGGATATCCACTTCTAACTATTCCTCTATACCAATATCAATTTCATTTAGCTATTTTGGTCTGATACTATAACCTTTGGCATTTTCCCTGCTGACATTTCATCTCTCAAATTACTTGTTTCTTTAAACTTACTACCAAACTTGCTGCTCTTAGAATCAATTTGTAGTTTTTAAATCATTAAATTGATTTAAAATACAAGTATCACATTGTTCCCAAAGGGCCGTAAGTTGATCTGGTTACAGGTTGGAATTTTCACAAATTCTGCTAAATTTCTTGGAGATTTCTTGATCCCTTCTGAAAATATAAGACGCTACCCCTAACGGTTGCTATACTGACTCCGGTCAACACAGAATTGTTTATTTGGTATATACACATGTGTATATATATATATATATATATATATATATATATTCAACTATACCTATGAATATTTGACTTTTTGTAGTACATGACCCGAAGTAGAGAAATTATATGTGCTTGAAATAAAGGGCAGCAACCCTCAAAATAAAAGAAATAGATCTTTTTGAAATATGATTTACTTCTCGTTTGTTTAACAGTGGGATACAAAACAATAAACATAAAAAGTTAATAACAAAAAATGGAGTCTATACCGGAAATAGGAAGGGGAAATATAAGACATCTATATTTGTATAGCTTCATTATTTCGGCAATATATCAAGACTTGTGGATACATGTATTATGCTTTCATTTATTTCCTGCCGGTTTAATATCAACCATATCAATTCAAATATAAGGAAGTAGAAATTGATGCATTGCAGTAGGCTGAAATACCGATACGAAACTAGAACAACATAGTTGAAGATGTGATACATATAAGGACAATAGTGACAAGTGTCTTAGCGAGCTATTCATGTACAGGAATTATGAAACTTGGAACAATTTCAGAGGTCATTCGATAAAAGAAATACAAAGTTAAAGCTGTATTAAGACCGTATGACTATATGAAACCAAATTCCTGTCTTTTTGTATAAGCCCAACCCTCATTAAAATTGAGAGCATTATTCTATTAATTTGTACTTTCATGTCGCCATCGCCTATCCCCCATTCCCCTTTTCTAACCTGAATCCCCTGTAAGACTGTATTTAAGTCTATTTACAATTATTAGTTGTCATGTTGAATATCATCTTTGCGGGAACCATAAGGTTAGGAGGTTTGTAGTCCTGATAGTTTTAGTGTCTCCCTAGCTTTCAGATCCCTCTTCCAACGGGATTTGTTTGTTGTTCTTTTGTTTCAATTTTAAGCGGCACTAAAAGCCTTTTGGATGACCATTAAAATGATTTCAATATATATTACTATTAGGTGGGAGTGTAGATATTGATACTTTTTTTACCCGAAATTGATGTTAATTGCGATCCCTTTTTTTCCTCGCTATCTTTCTCTCTCGAGTCGTATAGCCTTTCGCGTCACATGCGCGTGGCCGAGTCATTGAACACATTTGAAACGCGCAGGGATGCTTCGATACAGTATGACGCAAAAATACACTCTTTTGACCAGGTAGTCAAACAACCCTTTCATGGTTACAAGAGTGCGCATGCGCCGACATGGTCGCCATTTTAAGTTGCGAGTAAATATTTCGAGTAATTTGTATTTTATGCAGCATACAAAACGCATGTGTAGATATGATGTGAGTGGGCTGGGCAGGCAGCGACGCAACAATACATGCGCGTCTGAAAACATTAACGTCGCAATGTTTACTCGCAACTTAAAATGGCCGCCTTAACTGTGCAAGGCTGTATATAACATCGACAAATTACCTTTTATTACATTTACATATGTGTCTTATTTTCGTCTCCTCACGTATGAAACAGCTTATTCAATAAGAAGGGCGTGTAGTAAATACCCAGAAAAAACACCCTTTTACCATTTGTTTTTATATAGCCGTACGGTTGCCTAATTTAATAGTATTTCACCCATAACAAGCAGATGAATTTAGTTAAATTTTAATTCGTTTCAATGATTCTATGCAGTGATAGAAATCAGGAGAATCAACTTGTCCGCTTCAAATCCGGCTACCATTGTTTCGGTACCAAGCAATGACAACTCGACCCAGCCTAAGACAAGAGGTGTGATCAGTATGGACATACTACGGAAACTAGAAATCCAGGCTTTGATATCAATCGTCTTTCGGAATCTTGGAGAAAGAATCGACAATTGTTCGACTTCAAATGATTCAGAGTAAGTTGTGACATTTTAGCAATGAAATAGCCATGAGAAATGAGAAATGTGAATGATGGAAACGAAGTTTTTGGAATAAATTCTTAAGACTACATCACACTGGTTATGTTGACTGCAATTCTACATAGAGCAACAATAGAAGATCTCCCTCTGATCTCAACCATTTGCATACGGCGTCAATATTTAGATAGTATTGGTATGAAACCTCATCCAAGAAAAAAATACGTAGAAGAGGGAAAATATGAAAATACCTAAGTGATATTATCTTTAAACTACATAATTAGAGTGTGATTTAGTACTGGTTTGCAGATCTTTCGGTCACATGTAGTGTACTTATGATTAATCTGCATTTACATATTGAATTTTATTAATCAACGTACTTTTTCCTTTGTAGGGATTCGGACCCATCTGGCACCCGAGAGATGGTGGGCAGTGAAGTGCTAAGCCTCAGTCTTTACCCACCTGTACCTTCCGAGCAAAAGCTGTCCTCATCTGTTAGAATGGTGTTTCCTATGCAAGGCAGTATGGTGAGTATTAATACGTTAATACGTTAGGGAGACGGACGCTTTTGGAGGACACTTGATAATCCCCCGTTTAAGAGATAATTTACGTATCAAGTGAATACGTCCTATCTCTGAGCCTCGCTGATTGCTGCCTAAAACTCTTTGGAGTGACTGCACGCGTTTGGCATTCAATATCCCCCATTAATGGATGTCTTTTTTGATAGGTAATCAAAGTTTGTTGGGGAGGTAATTACATCTACGGAAAAGCTATTTGCATTTAGAGTGATATTAAAGTGTATCAACAGATAACCACGAAAATATCTGAGAGGGATCGCCTCTCAACCACTTTTAAGCTGACCTTCGGGGTAAATAATTTCGATCGTTCGTATCTCCTTAGATCAGGATTAATATACAGTTTTTAAATTAAATAAAATCAAAGTAAGTTTTTCCTTCGCCCGATGGCTGCGATGGCTTTCTCATTTAAAAAGTAGGCAAATAGAAAATAGGTAGATAGAAAATAGAAAACAGAAAAAAGAAAATAGAACATAATAGTAGGTGAAAAGGTGAGAAATTATGTATCACTATATGCTTCAGTTAGATTAAATATGATTTTCCTTCAAGTGTGCTCTTGCTAAATTTCGGAAGCGGATCGATGTCCAAACAAAATAATAATAAAAAATGAAGGCATATACAAAATGTGCTGCAAAACAATGTCAGATTAGTTACGGCTATGGGCATTTGAGATACAACAAAACATCAATGTGCTTTAAGAGTATGGAAAAGTGAATATGGTGCCTCAATTTCCCCTTAGTCCGAACTATCCTGTTTACCATTTAGCTTCACTCAGCAACAGCCCTGTTTAAACAACTTCTTACTTGTCTACGGTATTTGCTGTAATATAAGGCATATGATTTGCTGTCATATTATGAGAAGATGGTTGTACACCGATGTTGTCGCCTTCTGCAAGTTGGTACAGTAAATAGTTTTGACAAGCCATTACTTGAGCAGGTCATGTGCCGTGGTATCAGATGATTCCTGGCGAAAAGAAGCAGTCGGTATGAGCTAGACGTCTCAGAATGTTACTCGCATGTGGCGATGGCTAAATCTAATTGTGAGAAACATAATATTTGCAGACGATATTTAAAAGGCAGAGTGTAACTGACAACATGGTCAGGGAGGTCACGTGTACATATATACCATGTGACTTTACACACGTATATGGGTCACCCACTCTTTGGACAGTGTGTGATATTGACACCCGGGACCCGTTTCACAAAGCCCTTTTTCAATGACAAATGACAAAAATCAGTGACAAATCTGTTGATACCAATCATAAGCAAGGATTTCAGTAGCTTATAACAAAAACTGTCATATGTCACTGATGACAAGTTTTGTGAAACGCCCCCCAGTTTTTGGTGTATGCAGGCTAAATTTAGAATACTTAAGCCATATGATCATCCTGAAAATCTGTAGGGAAGAACGTATATTGGGGGGGGGGGGGTCTTTTTTCTTGATATTGTGCTTGTTTGCTCCATTCATCTTTTTTGTTTTGTTCATTGTCACCCTGTGAATAACCGCTTCAAAATATGGGGCCGTTTAAATCAAAGGTGTCGTCATGTTCAATAAGTCGTTCAACAAAAATATTGATTTCATCTTACTTAATTGTTAGCTCTCAATGTACTATGAATTTATCTGTTTATACATTTATCATTTGAAATGTGTGTCTATTCAATAATTCTCGATCTATGTGAGGTCGAATGATATCTTATGGCAACCGTAAGCACAACCTGCCTTTAAGGTCGATGTTTTGTGTGTACAGTCACGAATCGAAAGCTAGTCTGATACATGATGCTCGCCCAGTAATTGCATGCCTGTTGAGACACAAGCTTTGATTGTCGTGTAAAAATGACAGCATGGAATTGAAAAATTCCTATAATTGTCGTCTGTGCACTTTCAACTGTACTTTCAACTGTACAATCAAATGAACAAACCAAACTCGCTTGTAAGATGCGTATGTTACTTTATTTGCCAGTGTGATATTCCAAACGCTAAAAATGTAATATAATTTACATGACTACAGTCCAGTCTTTGCTCTACTTCGAATCTTCGGGTTCCCATTGACGGTATTTATGAAAGTCACTATACTTTATGCGATTTGTTGTAATCCTTTTCATCAGTATCCCCTTTCTTCCTCTGTCTCTCTCATATTTTCTTCTCACCTCATCTCTATTACTCTCCCTCTATATACCTCTTACACGCACATACACACACGCACACACACGCACGTATACGAGCACTCACTTGTTACCTCCGCCTGTGCTGTTTCTCGACCCCCTCCTCCATTTTATTATTCGTCCAATAACATATTTCTCTTCCACATCTGTTGTTTTCCATTATCACTCTGTACTCCTCGGTAATATGATCACATTGCCATGGTAACAGCCACCACGCTTCGCACACGGTCTTGCCCTCTGTTCGTTCTGGAATCATACCCTACGGTAAGTGTGATATTATTCATAACAATTTCGGTGGGAAACGGTGAGCACCCCGCTGACTTGTTCTCGATATTTATTTGACATTGTAATGTCATATCTGATCATGAACTCTGCTATCCTCTTCGCTTTATAGACGTGCATTGTTTATTTAATATCATCTGCTTAGGACCAGAGAGGCATACATTCATAAACTGTCAAACTGAGACAACGCCCTTTTGGCTCTGAACAGATGATTCGTGCTAATCTAACTGTACTATGTAAACTGATTTGATTAATCTTTTTTATTTTTCATAATCAAGCAAAAAATATTTAAAGTCATGTGCTAACTGTTCATTGTGGTGTAAGGGGGCAGGAACATTGTTATATTATAAACAATGTGATATTCTCAGTCCATTGCGGATCGTGGGTATGAAGTCGTATTGTGCCAATATTTTGTAAGTGTATAACCATGTTTTAGCTGTGAATGTTTCCTCTTTTTGGCAAAAGTTGACATGGCATGGTTTTTACAAATTCATACTCCAGGCATATATTATCCTGATGTTGTGCACACCATTTCTTCTTCTCAATTAAGCAATGGAGGACAAAAATGACAAAACTAAAATTCTAAGAGTCAGATTGAACCCCTGTGACGAATGGAGTTTATATCACCGGACTATTGATCTGATTAAAGTAAAATAATCTGATGTATTTAAGTAGTTGGGGTCATGAATGGTACAGAGCGAAAATCGAAAACTTGTGTAAATTTTGCAAAGCCAAATTCAATTGAAACCAATAGAAAATATTTGACCAAATGGAAAAAGCCATTCTTCATTTTGACACTGTTTTAAATTACGACTCAGCGGTTTGTCTCAGAAAGGTCGACATTTGCTTTATTGTAATTCAGCTGTTGGTCGCAGGGAAACTAAGACAGATTCCTTGGAAAGTCTTTTTGATATCAAGTAACAGCTCCATGATCACCTGTAATCGTTTAGTTTAATGTAATAAATCATTAATTTTATTTCATTTTTTACCTCGATTCAGCGGTTGGTCTCAAGAAGGGTGCGTGACAGAATTTGTCAACTCGTCCTTGGTCGAATGCGCCTGTGATCATCTAACAAACTTCGCAGTCCTCATGCAAATAAATGAATATCAGGTTAGTATAAAATGGTTCAACTAGAAACGATGTTTGATTATGGAGAAGGCTTATCTAGAGTCGATGTGTCCGACAGCTAAGATATTGAGATATAAAGTATACTTAATCCCTAGGTCGACTTTAAACTCAATTTAAATTCAGCCCTCGTCACTCTTTTACGGGAAAATAGGACAGAGCACTTAGTGTAATTAAACGATGAAATAACTGAAACATTTGAGAATCCACCGATACAGAATTTGCCATTTGGTTACGGATTTGACCCTGATTTAAAGATTGCGTTCATATAATCCTAGCAATGAAGCCCGGTTAGCTCAGTCGGTAGAGCATCTGACTTTTAATCCGAGGGTCGCGGGTTCAAGTCCCTCATCGGGCGAGAGTAGACTTTTAGCGCTTAGAGACTTCGGTGCCAAGACCTTTATTGGCACCGGTTTTATATATTTTTTTTTATTATTATTTATTATTGTTTCGATCTCTAACATCATTGATGTAAGAAGTAAAAGAATGGATGAAATACTATATACATTGTCGTAGTATTCATCATGACGCTTTAAAATTTGTATTACTTATGATTTAAATAGGTTTTTGCCGTATCTTAGTTTGTAAGGAAACTTTAACAGTACCATTCCTGCATATAGTTGTTTTAGTTTCTGGTCTACATCGTCCCGATTGGTTCAACATTTCAAACTTGTTCAAGGTAAATTTGTATCACAATGGAAAATACAATAAATTATTTGTTTTCTAACTTCTTCAAAATTCTTCACCTTTGTTCTGTTAGCAGCTTTCCCAAGCCAATGAGCTCGCAGTTAACTTGATAACGTCAGTTGGCTGTGGACTGTCGATAGCGGGCGCCTTCTTCACCATCTTCACATTCATTGTTCTCCGGTATGTGCAGCACTTTAATATTTTTTTTAAATCGACTGTCTCATTAAGAGCAAATACGATAGTTATAAGTTTAATGATAGCTTAATCCTAAATCGCTGTTCTATTGTATATGTTGAAAATGTTTTGATATCTGAGAAAATGAGATCTTGCTGATTATCTACCTTTCTAAAACTACACATTGATCTTTAATCTCGCTAATAGACCTTCTCTATTGATCAGCACGATCTCATGTATTTTCGAAGAATCAACTCATAAGTTAGTTCTATTGTATGCCCTGTAGAAATCAAGTTTGGATTACGTTAAAATACCATTGTCAAGTTACCATATTTCAATAGGATGGCCAAAGATTATTTGATTTGTTTGGGATCAATTTTTTAAAGTAGATTGTGTTTATCAAAACATTTGTTTCATTTTTTGTTTAATTCAGTTTAACATGATATTGACTCAGAAGACCTGCACGAAATCTAATGAATAATATGCGTCACAAAGAAAGATGATAGTACCAGTACAAATCGTTCATAATTGTAAATCCTTTTCACATTTCTATATAGTCTCAAATCAGACCGTGTGATGATTCATATCAACCTAGCGATTGCAGTTGGAATGGGGCAGATCATGTTCCTCTTTCTCGACACGCCCACCATAAATCAGGTTGGTTTATTAGCTTTAATAGTTTGACCTTTTAGTGACGTTTCATTTTTATTTATAGTAGATCCAGAAGGCTCAGAATTATAAATTGTACATAAAAGTGTAAAAGTTAGCCAGAAGATTTTAATCCATTTCTGTTGCATGGAATAAAAACAATTTCATCGAAAACAATCATTGGGGTAACTAGATTTCCCACGCAGAGTGACATTTATAATCACTTTTTCCATATGAAAAATTGGCAATTCTTAGTTTCATGAGATAAATTGTACTTTTTTATATTATTTTCTTAAATCACAAAAGAATGGAAAATTAATAAGTTGTTGTCATATGAAGGAGGAAAACCTTATTCATTTAGACCTTTATGCTAGGAGTCCACTGGGCCGGCGCCAGTTGGCGCCAGTTTGCGCCAATGCAATTTACTGTGGCGCCTAGTGTCGCCAATAAGGTGCCTAGTGGCGTGAAGTGGCTCAAACTGCCTCCCAACTGGCTCGTGGTGGCGCATAACGGCACCAAATTTGAATGTGGCGGCAAGAAAATTTTAAAATGTTTGAAATTTTCGTCGCGCCACTTGAATCGAGCAATCAGCGCCAAGTGTCCGCCAAGTGGCACCAAATGGCGCGAACATATCGCCCTTTGGCGCAAACAATCCGCCTATTGGAATCCACTGGAATGTAATGGCGCGCGCCAAGTTGCGCCAGTGAGATTTCGCGCCACATGGCGCCACTTGGCGCCAAGGGGCACCTTGTTTGCGCCTCTACGCGAGCCAAATGGCACCCGATTGGTGACTACTTCGCGCCAAATGCCACCTGATTGCCCGCCATTCAGCGCCACTTGCCGCCTATAACAGCAGGGCGGCATCGCAGGACTTTCTCACAGTGATGGCGGCAGTTCCCCAAGCTCTAGGGATGAGGTTGTGCTGGGCATCCTCCTGGTCCAACATGCGGACGTCCAGTGCCTGATAGTGCTTCCTGATGAGGTTGTGCAGCATGACGGCAGCTTCAATGAGTAGGCGGACTGTGTCTGGTTCCTGTTTCATCTGGCCAAGGAAGCACTGGAACCGCAGAGCCGGAATACCAAAGGCATTTTCAACCACACGCCTTGCCCCGGACAGCCTGTAGTTGAAGATCTTCTGCTGTTGGTCCATGTTACGACGGCAATAGGGCTTCATCACGTACGTCCTCATGGCGAAGGCATCGTCTCCCACGAAGAAGTACGGCATAGGGTGCTCTTCATCATCATGGGGAAGAGGAGCTGGATCTGGGATGCCTAAAGTGCCAGCTTCAATGCACTCCTACAGTTCACTGTTGTTGTAGATCTGGGCATCAGACTGATGGCCAACCCCACCCACATCGATCCACAGGAACTGGTACTTTGAATCTACCAGAGCCATCAGGACAACCAAGAAGAACTGCTTGTAGTTGAAGTAAAGGCTGCCTGATTTGTTGGGCTTCTGGAGACGGATGTGCTTTCCATCATAGGCTCCCAGACAGTGAGGAATATTCCATCTGGCTTCAAAATCACCTGCAACCTCAAGCCAGCCTTCACTGGTTGTGGGGGGGGGGGGAGAGATGACTTCTGCAGCATACTCATCCACTACCGCTCTGGCTACATCAGGGACAAACTTCTGGATGGTTTCCTTGCCCACTCGGAAGTTGTAAGACAGCTCGGCATAGGTGGCCCCAGTGGCGAGATGGCGCAGATAGAGGGACAACTTGAGACCAGGGGAATGGCCTTCCTGATGTGGGTGTCCTTCTTCTGCAAGTGGGGTGTTAGCCTGACCAACAGGTCATCAAACATCTCTGGGGACACCCTGGTGTAGTTCTTGAACTTCCTCCTGTCATTCTCACTCAGCTCTTCCATCAAAGTGTGGTACTGTCCATGTTCGGCCCTCAACTGTGGATGGAGCATGGGTCTAAACCACCAGTTGTGCTTCCTTTTCTTCTTAGGAGGCTCTTCTTCTTCAGGATTGGCCAGCATAAGTTGATAGGCAGTGGCCACCTCAGCATCTCTCATGATCTTCTGATGGAGCAGCATCATCACTCCAACATTATCAAAAGCCTCAGACATATCAAAATTGTAAATATTTAGTAGAGATGTTGTTCATACAGCAGCTGAGGAGGGTCTGAACCAGGTAGCCAATGGCCGGTATTTATTTAGTAGGCAAGTAGCGCCAAGCGGCAGCAAGTTCAAACCAATTTGGCGACCTTTGGCACAAACTAATCACCAAGTGGCGCAAAGTAGCCGTCTATTGGCGCGAATGGCGCCAACAGGGTGAATTTTGGAATCAAATGGCCGTGTAATGGCGCAAACTGGCGCGAACTGGCGCAACATTTTGGAGCAAGCCGGGTGGCATTTAGCGCACGCCATATGGCACCCAGTTTATTCCACTTGGCGACACATGCCGAGTGGACATTAATTCGGCGCCACAGTGAGCCACTACGCGCCAATCACATAATCTTTGGCGCGAACTGGCACCAACTGGCGCCGGCCCAGTGGACTCCTAGCACTGGCATGGATTCAAATGATTTTTTTTTCAGCTGGTTGGCCATAACTACGAATTTAAAATCGATCAACTCATGTCATGTCCGACATAGCAGCATCGTGTATATGCAAAGTGGATGACATCCATAAAATTTATATTATTCATTCATTCAGCATATTATTATAATAACTGGTAGCCAGGACATAAGGACAAAAAACATGCATGTTTTAAAGTACATTAGTAAACAGGTGTTTTGATTAATGATTCAAGTGTGCGCTTGTAAAATGGCGACTGGCTGGAAAGCTCCCCAGGGATTGGAAAATGTGCACACATTGTGTGCGGGTAAGCCTGGATCCGATACCCGGGGTAATAATATATATGTAAAGCGCTTAGGCACATCGTTGGATCGGTGTATTAAGCGCAATATAAAAAACGGATTATTATTATTATTATTATTATTTATATATTTAAAAAAAAAACCTCTTAATTACAGGTATGATCATAAATCGACATTACATGTTTTAGTGCGGTTCTTCAAAAAAGTGATTTATTTCTTTACAAATATGTTTATGATTTGTTTTTGTTTTTCTAGGTGCAATGCACAATCAAGGCATCGTTCCTCTACTATTTCTACATGTCGGCTTTTTGTTGGATGTTGATAGAGGGCGTCAATCTTTTTCTGCAAGCCGTCGTCGTCTTCAGTAAACCAGGAAGTCGGATTAAGATATATATTGTGATTGGCTGGCGTAAGTCACGTGGACTTTTCAAAATAATGATAATAGTAGTAATAACAATGATAATAACTTTACTCACACGTGGAAGCCTCATCAGTATCAATGCTATTCTTTCTTTAAAAATAGAACCCTGCAATTATTATGCCAAATACTCATTTACATTTGGATGGAGAGTCGCAAAAGTGGCTTAATCCCTGCCTAAACACTTTAGTGCCGGGCTGGGGTTCGAACCCTGAGCCATTGAAATGAGAGTCAAGTTGATGAACCATACTACGACACCTCCAATTATCATTTCAATAAAGTATTTGTGAATGAAGTATATGTCGCCATAATTGCCGGGGCATTAGGTAACCAAACATATAATATTGACTTATTCATTTAGTTAGAAGAAATTGGATCGGTTAATCTTACAAAGCATGTTATTTGAAATAGCTGGTTTGCCTTTACCAAATGCATTTCTGCAGTATATCCTCATGTGATCACAGGACAGAGTCATCTTTACACACAGAGCTTGGTCAACTTGGTTTTAGTTGTTCACTGTATGGCGTAAATTATTTCTTTTTGTGCTTTCCCCAAAAATCGTTCAAAAATTCCTGATCAATGGTATTTAGACGAGCAATGCACAGGCGCCCTCTTTTGGCAGTGCCAGTTCAGCAAACAATAGCGATATACCACTAATGTTGATTGTAAAGGAAACGCACAATTGGGTCAAGCATTTGCGGTAAACACCCCCCGCTACTCTGTAAACATAACATTTGTTTCCCTTGATTATTTGATTGTCAATGATTATTTTTTACTTCTCTTTCTTCAGTTTGTCCCATCATCCCTTTGGGTGCAACGCTCGGATTTTACAAAGGAGTTCTGGGGGATGACGTAACTGATATCTCAAATGCTCATCCTGTGTAAGAATGAAAAGTATTGCTAAATAATGATAATGGTAGTAATGATTATAATTAAAACAATAATAAAAACAATACTAATCATGAATTTAAAAACAATAATAGCAATCATGATGATAATGATGATGATGATGATGACGATAACAATAAATGTATAGTAATAATGATGATAATTTGATTTGATTTGATTTATTCATTTTCCTAATGATCTTTTCCCAAAGTTGAAAATATTTTTTTTCCCCATGGAAGCCTCATCAGCTTCTATGCTCTTCTTCCTGAGGGCCTTGCCATTATCATTACCCCAGCGATTTCCAGTTACCCAATGTACACGTAGGTCAAGAATGGCATGTGGATTAATGTCTTGCCAAAGGACGTTAGTGCCTAACTGAGATTCGAACCCTCAACCCTTGTTTTGAGATTCAAGTGAGTGAACCACTATACCACGACACCTCCACTATACCTTACCCCAACTTTATCTTGTTCACTTTTAGATGTTTTGTGAGGAGGGACGATGACTCCATCTGGTTCTTCGTGGTTCCAATCCTGACCATCATTGCTCTCAATGTCTACTTCGTATCCAGGGTCATCTTCGAGATCATCAAGCTTGCTGGTGGGCCTCACGTGGTCAAAAACCGTACGACACGAGCAAAGTGAGTCCCTTCTTCTCTCTTTTAGGTGTAGTAGAATCTGTGAGGTTCGTTGCCTCCTTGTTCATAGAATGAACGGCATTACTCTGGTAAAAATTGCCGAAAGATAATAGAGCGTCCTTCACCTTAGCATTTGTTTTGTTAAAAATTCGCCACCAGGTGTTCCTTTCAATAGTATTATGTGATACATGTTGTAGTTATGGTATTGGCGGTGTTGGTGGTGTTGTCCGTGCTGGTGCTGGTGGTGTTGGGATGATGATGGTGTTGTAGTGTTGTGGTGTTGTGGTGTTGTGGTGTTGTGGTGTTTGGTGTTGATGGTAGTAGTAGCAGGTAGTTGTTGTGAGTGAAACAATCTGTACACAAATGTTGTTTCCTTATACCAATGTGTCTGTTAATAGATCATGGATTCTGTTTGTATCTACCACGTCCTACTGTTTTCTTAGTTGTGATCCAGGAGAATTGTTTCAATAAATCTACCAACATTTATGTTTCTATGATTGCAATTCAACATAAGTATTGACGTTAAGGCCCATCTGCACTAGGTTGGCCAGGAGGGATTAGACCACCCATGAAGGTCACTGACAGGTTGTTATCTCACCAAATCAGCTCTCAGTTAACATAAAAAAGGGGATCATGGGAGACCAACGGTCACCGATTAGTCATTGCTTGCTATATAGAGGGCGCAAGTACCTATAAGTAGTCCAGTGGGGCTTTAATATTCATCATATTTTATTTTGTTTTATCTCATCGCCCTCTTAGACATGGTGTCAAAGCTTGTGTGATCCTGTTGCCGGTGATGGGTTTGACTTGGATATTCGGTGTAATGTGGTATGACCAATCAACGATGGTGTTTATGTATCTCTTCGTCATCTTCAACTCACTTCAAGGCTTCTTTATCTTCATTTTCCACTGTCTCTTAAATTCAGAGGTAAGAGCTAATTAACAACATTAAAGCCCGTCTGCACTAGTTTGGCCAGGAGGATTAGACCTCCCTGGAAGGTCATTGAATTTGAATCTGAATTTGAATTTATTAACAACAACACATCACAATAATGCCAGTACATATGAACAATCATACAATGCGAAAAATAATACTGATGCATGTACATGTATATATAACATAAGAGTAATGTCGATTGAACAGTAATGGTTTAAATACGATATTTAGATATACATCTGCATACTATTACGTAAATATGTGTATTACTATATTTAGGTGAAGTTGTTAATGGGAACTAGAAGTTAGCACAAGTGCTAGTCGAGCCTAGTTCCATTCTTTGGCAATATTTTTTCCTGTTAATTTGTTGTTTTGTATTTACATATATACAACAAAATAATACAGTATCATGTAACTTTTGTATATACTAAAATGAAAAAAAGAAAAAGAAAATAGTTTAAGTGTTAAAGCATTATAATGAAAGAAGACATATCTTTGAACAAATAAAATCATTAAAGTGTTCATAAAAATGAAAAGGGTGTATTAATGAAAATAATATCATACAGATGTGCGTACATGCACAAATCCTTTAAAAGCTTAAGGCAGCTATAATCGTTAACAAGCAAGTGTATACATATATAAAAGAAAGACAAGTAAAATAAAAGGAAAAACAAAGAAGGGGGGGGGTGGGATTGAGCCCACGTCATTTACATAGAAGGTAGGCGGAAAGATGTCTCCGAAAAGATAACCTCGATGTTTTTAATCTAATTTCATCTGGGAGATCATTCCACAGCTTTGTTCCTACAAACGAAATACAAAATTGCCCTTTCGTTGTCTTACATTTTGGTTGATAGAGTAAGCCACTTTCTCTCCTCCTAGTTGCATATCTGTGCTGTATCATCTGACAATAATCCACTAAAGAGTGTGGTAAAACACCTTTTACCAAATCGTACATAAATGTCAATACAAGAAGTTCATGAGGTTGAAAAATATTTAAAATATTTAGACTTTGAAAAAGAGCTCTGGAATCTGTTCTAAGTGGACTGAATGTAATTGCTCTCATTGCCATTTTTTGACTTAAAACAAAAATCATTGTCAGATGGTTATCTAATCAAATCAGCTCTCAATTAACATAACACAAAATGGGGATCATGGGGGACCGACAGGCACCGATTAGGCATTGTTGCTATATAGAGGGTGCAAGTAGCTACTAGTAGTGCAGTGGGGCTTACAAGTCATTTTTTCAAAAATCTTTCGTCGGTCTGTCTTTCTAAATCTAACTTGACTTTGGTAAAAACATGATCGCAACTAATTTTCAAAAATCAACTTAAATAAAATGTATGTTCCATAAATATCAGGTTGGGATTTGCAATACGTCTTTTTAATTTTCTCACATTTCAAAATAGGACGTTTAATGACGGTAACATTGCCCCAGGGTTTTTATTTCGAAAGTAATTGCGATCGTGTCGTAATTAATTTTAATTCGAAGGAAACAGTCGATGTTTTTTGTTGTTGTTATTTTCTAGCACAGCCCCATTCGTCTCATTATTGTTGTACTTTACCATGCAAAACAGTTATGAAATTACATTTCTTGTATTCATTTGAAACATCCGATTTAGTTTAGTAATTTGACATATCCTTCGGATAGCTTATCGGGTATCGGGGTGACAATAATAATATTTTTAACAAAAGCGCTTTAGTGACACCATAATGTAATTAAGCGCTATTTACTCAGACTCAGAGTATTTTGGGCAAAAGATTCAACGTAGAGATATTGATTTAAATCACTGCACAATATACAATTATGTCTATCAATATAATTACCAATTTTAGCCAAAGAAATAGAACCAACTGAAAAAAAAACGATAATTTTTGTTATATGAAAATGAGATAATTGCATCTTTATGCAAGTACTTTCTATTTCTTGTTTTGTTTTACTCCCATATCATCTCTTGCTTCTTCTTTTTTCTTCTCGCTATTCTTCTTCTTCTTCTTCTTCTTCTTCTTCTTCTCTTTTTTTTCTCCTTCAATATTCCTTAATACTCTTGTCATTGTTTTTCTCGTATTCTCTTTGGCTCTCTCTCTCTCTCTCTCTATCTGTTTCTTTGTATGTATGTCTGTCTCTCTCCCTTTCTCTCTCTATCTCCATTTATCTCTCTTTCCCTTTCTCTATCTATCTCCATTTATCTATCTATCCCTTTCTTACTCTGTCGTTCTCTCTCTCTCTCTTTCTCTCTCTATCTCCATTTACCTCTATATCCCTTCTCTCCCTCTCTCTCTCTCTCTTTCTCTCTCCATGTCTCTCTATCCCTTCTCTCCCTCTCTCTCTCTCTCTCTCTCTACTAGGTACGCCGCACTTTCCAGCGAAAGAAGGTGGAATGGAGGAACTCTTTTTCAAGACGCAGCTCGTTCAATCTCAACGTGTTCCGAAGCGATGACTCTAAGAAGAAGCAACATACTGTTGACAGCAACAAGCTTTCCGCCATTGCCACGCCCAATGGTTCCCATGCCAACCAGAATAAAGACTGAAGACAGTGTCATTCAGCTCGCATCCCGCTTGTGTCTATATGTTCTTGAATCTATTTTGATCTTGTATTCGCTCTGTATATGCTGTGAGTTTATATATATCATAATTTGGGGTACTTTTGTGGTTGAAATATTGTCCAATCTAAAATGTTGATGTTTTACCTTAGTCATGTTTGTGTGTGTGAATGGGTGTGTCTGCGTGTTTTGGTTATTAATCATGAGGGATTTTTAAATGGTCTACAAACAAAAATCCATATCCATTCAACACTGTTTAAATATTGCCTTCAGAGGTTCAGATGGCAACCTAAATTCGCAAAAAACAGAAATATATACCCAAATGTTGTAGTGTATTCCCGATATCTATCCATGCTGGATCAATATGATAATTCACCAAATATATCAATTAGTAGGCGGTTTCCCGACAGAATTCGTATCATCACGTATTAGTCAAAGAATATTATTTCACAAGATTAGTAATAAGAGCTTCCATCTCATTTTTTTTTTAGATGGGGGCGTTTACAAAACCTTAACCTCAACAAAACTTAATTTAGTGTGCGTGTGTGTGTGTGTGTGTGTTTGCTTTTGTTGTTTATTTATTAAGGTTTTTTTTTTTTTTTTGATTTCATACATAGAAGAGTACAAGGCCAAATGGGGAATGATATTATATATTATATATCATCATAATAATGGCGATATTTTCCATAGTTGTCTGGCAGGTATATCTGACGATATGCTATTTATAATTTTTCGATTATTGAATTTCCTCGTTATTGCCATACAAAGAGTCAGTTATTCATATTATGAGTGGCTTAAGAATTACATTTGGTTTTGCTACATTATAATGGTGACATTAATAGAAAGACATTAAAGGTCGTGTACAGTTTCGGTAGACCCCAAATTCACTAAGTCAAATTTACTTTATTTTTAAGTTCAATCCTAGAAAATAAGAGGTAACATAATGATTAAAATATCCATCCTGAGGCGTGAATTCTAACACTGGCAACCTGCAGTAGATACGTGTAAAAATAAATGGGCCTACATAAAGGGAGTGTACATTTAATATTCATTGCTGGTATTTACATTGTATTCACCAGAATTATCATGATCATGTAAAGAATGCCAAATGATCTTGTACATATAGCTTTCGATACTTGGAGAATAACTTGAGATCATTTATTTAACAGGTTTCTTTCCAATATCATGTTCGCTAATAATACTGTACATGAGCTTTACTGTTGAATTTGAAACACATCGATAGTGTATTTAAAACAAGTAAATACGCTATTGGAATGTACCTCATTGTCTTTTTCAAAACTTTATGAACTCCTATCAGTTATATGAGGTGTAGTAGTATGATGTTTATTACCCCACACTCTCTTGAATAATAATGTTTTCTTTAGTTTCGTGTTTTTTTTGGTCAAGATGTAACCATCTAGAAAGGAGATGTTTAAGACTAAATCAAAATAATCAGATAAACATATCAATGTGTTATCCCCACTATTTTTCCTAGTAAGTGAGTGTTATATGAGTTTAATTTACCTATAATCACAAGGTTACAATGTGTATAATAAAATAATGTGATGGAAAACGTAATATTCGTCACAATGCGAAATGGTAGATTTAGTGATAGTTACGAAAATATCTTATCTTACAAACTAATTTAAATGTTAAATGTGACAAAATTGCTGCTTCTTCAACGCAATAACATGTACATGTAACACCAAAGCTATACAAGCACTATTATTGCAATATTGATCGGGACATTTTTCGTATGATATTTGTTGTCTTCATTTGTAAATAGCTGGCCTTTTTATGATAATGCAATAAATTGTTATTTTGTTTGACCGATTTACAAGTTTGCAAGAACTTTTGCATGAAATACCTTGTACAGCGATGATTATTCTCAATAAGGTTATGTATAGTCAATTCCACTTACATGTTTGTTTGAATTATGCAAAATGGTGTCTTTTTTTCCATATTAGGTGTTTCTGTGAAACATTAGGAATATTTAGAGCTCATTTGCATAGAATGCATATATAGTGTGGTTAGAAGTAAGTATTACGCTTGGTTTTTATTTCCTTTCCATTCCATTCTCTACCGTGGAAAAATGGAAGCAGTAGATTATGCATGTAAGTGACTGTAATCCTATTTGTGGTACTGTTGACAACTTTAAGACGCGTCTTAAAACATTTCTCTTCAAAAATAGTTTCCAATGTTAACGAGAGGAAGTATGTTGAGCATACCTTACTCTTCTCATGTTACTCTATCCACCTTTCCTTCTTACTCTTTCTTACAGCGCATAGAGACATATTGTGATATGCGCTATATAGAACGGTATTTTATTAATATTATTAGACTGAGAAGGAAACTGTACATTGATTAACAAAAATACACCAAACTCTATTTCAATTATTGATGTCTTTTGAGGTGTGGGTCTCTCAAAAATAAAGGCTTTTTGTGGTAAGAAGTACACTGTAAAATGAATTTTATATACATTTTTTAATATTAGCTATTATCTTGTGAATTACAACAAATATCAAAGGGCGACGTTATTACTTTTGTCTCCAAAGAATTATTCAGTACAATTTTAAACACCTGATTAAAGTACATAAACATAATATAAATGCTATATGTTATATTAAATGCGTCTGTGTGTTCTGAAATAATAATAAGCGATTGAAATTTTCATTACTAATTTGGATGTTTGGGCGGATTACTGTCGTGTTGAACAATAAAGTCATTATTATGAAATTCCCTGTTCCTTAATCATGTTAATCTGTGGTGTTTTCTTTCTTTAAATAAACAAAGTGGTTGAGGTATATGTTTTGAGATAATGTTGAGTTATGGGACCCGTTTCACAAAGCGTTCTTTTTCAATGACAAATGACAAAAATCAGTGAAAAATCTGCTGATAGAAACAAAAATTGCCATTTGTCACTGATGACAAGTTTTGTGAAATTGGGCCCTGGTCGTGTAAATTTTATTTATGAAGAAACTATGTGGAAGCGCTTGGTAAAAGGTTGAGCTTGCAGCACAGTATAGTATTGGTTTATACTATGAGGTTTAGTAATCATCAGAATGATGAGATGTTTGCCCATTCTTGATGAAAGTCAAATGCACCGTATCCACATGACCACTGTGCTTCACTGTTATTGACTTGTTCGGTTCAAGATGTTAACACTTTCTGATGTTAATGACTTTAAAAAATATGCTAATAAACTACTTGTACTCCTTTGTTGAGGAGGAGGGGGTGTCCCCTAAACAAACAAAAAAGATGAAATAAAATGCGAGGTGGAAAGGCATAGCCTGGAATCGAACCGAGTACATCTGCATTGTGAAGCGATGTCTTCTCTACATGACCACTGTGCTTCACTGATATTAACTTGTTCGGTTCAAGATGTTAACACTTTCTGATGTTAATGACTTTAAGAAATATAATGATGAACTAAGTTTACTCTTTTGTTGAGGAAGAGTGGGTGTCCCCTAAACAAATACAAGAGAAGGACAAATCAATATGAAGAAAAAAATGATTTAAAAAAACGAGGTAGAAAGGCATAGCCGGGAATCGAACCGAGTACATCTGCATTGTGAAGCGATGTCTTATCGACATGACCACTGCGCTTCACTGTTATTAACTTGTTCGGTTCAAGATGTTAACACTTTCTGATGTTAATTATTTTAAAAAATATGCTGATAAACTACTTGTACTTCTTTGTAGAGGAGGAGGGGTGTCCCCTAAACGAAAAAAAAAAAGGATGAAATAAAATGCGAGGTAGAAAGGCATAGCCGGGAATCGAACCGAGTACATCTGCATTGTGAAGCGATGTCTTCTCTACATGACCACTGTGCTTCACTGATATTAACTTGTTCGGTTCAAGATGTTAACACTTTCTGATGTTAATTATTTTAAAAAATATGCTGATAAACTACTTGTACTTCTTTGTAGAGGAGGAGGGGGTGTCCCCTAATCAAAAAAAAAGGGATGAAAAAAACGCGAGGTAGAAAGGCGTAGCCGAGAATCAAACCGAGTACATCTGCATTGTGAAGCGATGTCTTACCCACATGACCACTGTGCTTCACTGATATTAACTTGTTCGGTTCAAGATGTTTACACTTTCTGATGTTAATGACTTTAAGAAATATAATGATGAACTAAGTTTACTCCTTTGTTGAGGAGGAGGGGGTGTCCCCTAAACAAAACCAAAAAAAGGACAAATTAATATGAAGAAAAAAAATGTTTTAAACAAAACGAGGTAGAAAGGCATAGCCGGGAATCGAACCGAGTACATCTGCATTGTGAAGCGATGTGTTATCCACATGACCACTGTGCTTCACTGTTATTAACTTGTTCGGTTCAAGATGTTTGCACTTTCTAATGTTAATGACTTTAAAAAATATGCTAATAAACTACTTGTACTCCTTTGTTGAGGAGGAGGGGGTGTCCCCTAAACGAAAAAAAAAGATGAAATAAAATGCGAGGTGGAAAGGCATAGCCTGGAATCGAACCGAGTACATTTGCATTGTGAAGCGATGTCTTCTCTACATGACCACTGTGCTTCACTGATATTAACTTGTTCGGTTCAAGATGTTAACACTTTCTGATGTTAATGACTTTAAAAAATATGCTGATAAACTAATTTTACCCCTTTGTTGACGAAGAGGGGGTGTCCCCTAAACAAAAATATGAGAAGGACAAATCAATTTGAAGAAAAAAAAATGATTAAAAAAAAACGAGGTAGAAAGGCATAGCCGGGAATCGAACCGAGTACGTCTGCATTTTGAAGCGATGTTTTATTCACATGACCACTGTGCTTCACTGTTATTAACTTGTTCGGTTCAAGATGTTAACACTTTCTAATGTTAATGACTTTAAAAAATATGCTCATAAACTACTTGTACTTCTTTGTAGAGGAGGAGGGGGTGTCCCCTAAACAAAAAAAAAGAGATGAAAAAAAAAAACGCGAGGTAGAAAGGCGTAGCCGGGAATCGAACCAAGTACATTTGCATTGTGAAGCGATGTCTAAATCGATACACATAGGACTATACAAACATGTGGCATGAAGGTGTGGTCCAAAATCTTTAGCTATTACTTGTCATAATGATATGACAAGAATATGAGGAGAATTGGGAAGCCCCTATTTCTGGGGGACATTTTTCTAATAATACACTGCAACATTAAGGTAAAAAAAATGATAAACAAATCACAACTTTTACCTTTTTTAGAACACTCAATCTTGCCTTTAAATTGACATTTTGATTCACCATACAATATGAAACACATAGTGCACGCTGAAATCACGACAAAATATTTAGCATGTTCTGCAAACAATTGGGTAACTTAGGGCAACCATTTATCAAGTTTGATTTCCTTCTGTTTATTATAAGCACACTGATAAATAAACACAAATTGAAATTTAAAAAATGTATTCATGTGTATTAAGTATAATTTATTCGCAATAGTATACCCCCCAAGTTCAAATTTACCTGTCGGCTTTAGAATACGAGTATAAAACTGGTTTTCTACCAGTAACAACGAGCAGTTTGAATGTCAACGGTTTAAAAACAACACACAGCCATCACTATGAACATGACAGACAATGAAAGCGGACAAAATATACAGTTCCTCAGGTAGACAAAGGGAAATCCCTTCACTGCTATTATGTAAAAATGTGTAGAACAGGTGTCACATGCATAGTCACCTGTTCTACACATTTTTACATAATAGCAGTGGATGTTCCTTTGTCTACCTGAGGAACTGTATATTTTGTCCGCTTTCATTGTCTGTCATGTTCATAGTGCATGATAGTTATATAGCTCTCTTGAAAGTAACGTTTGTTTATGGCATTGCAAGTGCATTGTAAAAGAAATTTATTGGGAAATAGTGAGTATGGAAACATTATTCGGAGGTATTTTGAAGTTTTGACACCAAATTACATACGGTGAAAAGCAGTGCACGTAGATATGAGCATTATGTTGGATGACAAATAAAGGACTCGTCGCCATTTGGTCAATATATATCAAATGGTATCAGCTATATTCAGAATATTGAGATATCTAAACAGCCTTTGTTCTTCTTCATCTTCTTCTTCTCCTTCTTCCTCTCGTTTCCTCCTCCTCCTTCTTTTTCTTCTTCGATCATGTTAAATTGCTTTCATGACACTTTCCACAGTGGGTATTCCAAAAATATATAAAAATTCACCTGTAGCAGAAAAAGTTTCCTTTCACAAGAGAACCCAGATACAACTCATAATCCATGGATATTACTCTTCGTGTAGAAATGACGAGGCGTAACCGCACCGATACGCTTCATATTTCCTATTTCATATAACACAGAGCTAAGTGAACACGCGCGGTACGTTTGCTGCGCGCATTTGCCATTCAATTTCACGTGTGGCGGTTAACCGTCTAAACGAGGACTATTAGATTCAACCTATTGTCCCTCACTGTCGATTCTACTAGGTTCGAATGTTCGCTTCCACGGACAACATAGTCTTTGATATCGATAAAATAATTGAACAAAATTTCGCCTAAATCTGAGGTTGGTAAGTGCATAGAGAAAAGGGTTAATTGTAGAGTTGCACCACAAGAGATAGTTGGTGATGTCCCATGTTAATTCAAAAACACAATCTCCACAAAACGCAAGCCGGATACTCGTGAACTGGTAGGGGAGCCAGCAAAACATAAACACCCCGACGAATACGGCCAGAAAAAAGGCGGCTTTCCGGTGTTGCGCGTGCATTTTCACCTGCGTCCTGTACTCGGCTTCATGTCTACCTCGCGTTTTACGCGCGCGCACTTTGACATCATCATCACACTCCTGGGATTCTTCAGAAACGCTTGAAGGCCTTGGAGTGACGTCATAGCTGTTCGTTTGCCTCGCTGAATCGTTGGGTAATTTAAAAGCACAAACCGCGATGTACTTGATCGCTTGCCCATTTGAGCTTGATATTCTCCTTCGCACGATCCCTTTCGGTCCTTTCCTTATATGGATGTACAAAACCATGTTCAGGTAAACGATGGCTAAAAGAGGAATGACGAACTCGACTGCGTTGATAGAAAGCGTTGTAGGGGCATTATAGCTGAATTCTAATTCGCAGTCTCTGGTAAAATCCACAAGTGGAACTTCCTCAACAATTGCTCTCCATCCAAACGCGAGGAATGTGTAAATAGCTGCGCATGCGCACCACGCACACAGTAGCGATATTATGACCCGTCGGGATGTCTGAAAGCTCGCGTACATCAGTTGTTTCTTCACCAGCCAGTATCGGTCAAGGCTTATTAATACAACTGTCCACACAGACACCATGCATAGCGTGTAATCCAATACCAACCATACTTTACACGCGACTTCACCGAACGGCCATCTATCCAAGGCCGAATATATCATATTCCCGGGTAGAATGATTAATCCGATCAATACATCCGTTATAGAGAGGCTTAGAATGAGAATATTTGATGGTTTGTCTCTGATTCGCTGGTCTACGAAGAAAGCAGTAATGACGAATGCATTGCCGATGATCGTGACAATCGAGATTATGGAAAGCAAAAGCGGGACCGTCGCTAACCACACCACAGATTTTGGCATTCCATAGATGTCGGTTTCGTTAGCACCCATGGCTTCAAACATGGACACGTTGGGTTCCATTATGATTGCTCTTCCGATTAGTTTGTCATGCTTTTCAAAACAGTTTATCAACAAAGTTATGAAGTCAGTTAATCATCAACAGACAAGGATACAACGTAACAAAACGCATTTTGTTCAGGAAATCAATGCACGTAGCAGACCCTCGATTTATGACTTATGCAAATAAGATTTCGGGGTTCATTGATGCCTGGCATAAACCTAGCCTGGAATATGTAGCATTAGTCTTTAGAGATGAAGACTTCGGTGCCATAGAAAACATAAAATCTGTAATGATTCAATCGCTGGCAGAAGTAATATTTTCAATAAAAAACGATCCTGATGAAAAGTAGATGCATTCAGATCTTGGTATTCAATAAGAAAGATGCGTCACCTCGTAACATGATGAGTTCGTGAATGTTAAATGATGCACATCCTTTTATTCCTTGAGTGTTCAGGATGGAGATAGGGAGGTTTGAGTGATATGTCTAATGCGATGAACAAAACATGGACAGATATCCTTGATGAGCATTCGCACTGAAGTTTAAAAAAAGATCAGTAGGACTGTGTGATTAATACCCTCAAAGCTTAGAAAGGTGTCGATGTACCACGTGCTTATATCAAACGTTGACAATCATAAATGAATACCTCTCGTAAGTGGTGATTCCGGCAACATTCCTCACTTCTCAAACGCGCTATTTATTTATTTCTCATAGTCCATTATCATGTTACATATGCTCTTGGTCAACACATGTTCATCAAATTTCCACCTGCTGCAAAAGTCACCTCAGAACCCTGATGCGATGCTGAATATTATATGACCATTCTCCTTGTGAGACAGTCAGGGTTCGTACAGATGACACATGATGCAAACATAAGACGAGTGTTTCCTTACACATGTCAATAGTCAAATATCGAAAGCCAAGTTGATGAAACCGGCGATTCGCACGTGCTCGCTGAGAAGAAATTGGCTAAATACATCATTCCTAGAAGTAGCACGGAGCTCGTGGAGAATGGCACCAAATGACGCTTGAATAGAGGTGTTTAATTAATGAAAGCACCTCATTAATAATTGATGCCTGTCTCGACCCAACCGCAATTAGTGCTTGTAGTTGACAGCACAGACTTATGCCACTTAACTCGGACACAAATGACAATCATCCCTTTAGAGGTTAACCAAGTCAGCTCCATACTAGTGTTTGCTCTCTAGATGCCAGCTGACTTCCTGACGTCATGAGAGGTATTAAAGATACCTTGTTATGTGTCCTGTAATTAGTCTGTTTACGTCATAAGATCAGCCTAAGATGAATTAAACGAACCCTGTAATGTCTGGCCCGGATCGCTATTTCCTGTTCACGACGTCTCCTCAAATCTGGAGAAAAAAATCAGAAAAGAATAGATTAAATAAAACAAGTTGTTGTTGCTCATTTGGTTATAGGAATTTTGTCCTGTCATTTTGTTTCTACAAAGTCAGAAGAAATCATTTTAGGCACATTAATGATAGTAATAGCTATGTTTAATGAGTAACCATCATATGGGATACTCAAGGCTTACAAACTAGTTTCATTACCCTGGCTTTAACACAGCTGCCAACGGCCATTGGCAATTGTATTGGTAGGCAGCTAATGAGCAAGGTCACTAAGTCATGGAAGATGCGACATTTTTACTACGCTCTTGAACAGGTTAGCAATTACCATTATGTCGAATTATTCCGTCAATCGTGGTTGTTGTTGATACCTGTTTTTTAACCTGTCAAAGTTGACTATTTTACCACAATAAGTTATTTCAATGTTCTAAAATAACCCCCCTAAAGCTATTATTTTCCATGCCCGAATCAAATTTTCATTTTAATTAAAATACCATTCCGCTGTCACACGGTACATCAGACTGTCAGCTCTCAAAGTGTTTATATATCTTTTGTCCATGAAATTTGCTTTTTTTCCGATATCACCATGCATGGAGTCAGGATACGATCTAAGAAGACAACCGATGAATGCGTAGGGAGAGTATAATGGAATACGTCTTCTCTTCATGAAATTCCGACAAAGTCATCTCAACGAAGGCCACTCAGAAAGACAAATTGTACTCAAAGACTAACAAAAGGTTAGTGCCGTCGAGTAGTCGGGTCATTCTTCTGCATGTTTCAAAACGCATGCAGCATATTCACTGACATTGTTACGAGTAAGTGACAAGTAAAAGTGCAAACACAGGCGTGAAGAGGAAAGTAAATGTTTACCAAGTGAGTGACTCAGTCAAAGGTTTTGAGGCACTTTAAAACATGTTTGATCGTAAAGGAAATGCACTGTGTCTGATCTTGGTATCTTTACTCCTATCGTACATTGTCATTTCCAGGTTTACAAATTCCGATCATCCTGTGCGTAATATTTAAGCAGATAATCTATGAAGTTTCAAAAGTAGCCATTTCTTGGATGTCCACGTATTTTTAATGGACTGATTTACTTCCGAAAGTGACCGTGACTTTAAACTGATTTAAATCCTGAATTGACCGTGACTTAAAAATGATTTACTTCCAGAAATGACCGTGACTTTAAACTGATTTACTTCCAGAAATGACCGTGACTTTGGACAGATTAACTTCCATAAATAACCGTGACTTTGGACTGATTTGTTTCGAGAATTGACCGTGACTTTAACTGATTTACTTCCAGAAATGACCCTGACTATAAACTGATTTACTTCCAGAAATGACCGTGTCTTTGAACTGATTTAAAAGCAATTTCTATGGCATTAATCACCATCTAGCCTTTTTTTCTAGCTTTTAATCACTCATGCGTGAAAAATGAGTTTCATCAAATGAAAGAGGAGGAGCTTTACAAATATAGTTGTGATTAAGTTATAATACAACATCGTTAATTTTCGGTTTCGTTTTTCCCAGGACGCACTGCGAAGCCTTTATCATGATCACCACTACACGATAAGTGTCCACTTTCAAAATAACGCTGGTAACACGCGAAACTGTGAATAATTCAAAGATTTCTAAACGACCGCCATTAGTAGACCGTATCAATTACTTAATAGCGGGTTTGGAAGGAAATTATGCGCCTCTTGAAATGACTTCACTCAAATTAAAGCCTGATAACTCGGTCACACCGCCGAACCGACAGTTACTTTACACCGCCTCCAACCCACATATTATTACCATTCGGGGTATTTGAATATTCTGTTCGGTAAGGTATCGGTGTGGTGTAGGTCTACTGGTGTCGGTCTAGTGTCGGTCTGGTGATGGTCTGATGACGGTCTGGTGTCGGTCCAGTGTCGGTATGGTGTCGTTCTGGTGTCGGTCCGGTGTCGGTATGGTGTCGGTCTGGTGTCGGTCTGGTGTCGGTATGTTGTTGGCCTGATGTCGGTCTGGTGTCAGTCTGGTGACGGTCTGGTGTCGGTCAGGTATCGGCTCAGGTGTCGGTCCGTTGTCGGTATGGTGTCGATCTGGTGTCGGTATGGTATCGGTGTGGTGTCGGTTTGGTGTAGGTCTCGCTGATGTGATTGGGGTTAGATATTATCCCAGCCGGCAAATAGCATCTCCTCAAATGTGTTAAGTGGATGATTACTCGAGTCAAATTTGCTTTTAGATTTCTGGAGGGGGTTTCGTGGTTTTAAAGATGCTTCAAGACACATCGGAAGAAACAAGAGAAATTGTGAATTAACGTTACCGAGAATTAGAAAATGGATAACAATTGTTATATATAATACTATAACTGGGGTTTATATAGTGCTTCATACTTCGACGATGCCTCTAATCGCTTTATAGAAGAAGTATAACCCGTTCATAGAATCAGGCACATCACATCATCCTTCTCTCCTCCACACTCCTTGTCTCCTCCTTCCAACCCTCTCTCTCTACCTACTATTTGCTGATTTTATTTTTTTTTTTCTCTCTCTCTCTCTCTTTCTCTCTCTCCCCTCTCTCTTTCTCTCTCCCTTCCTTTTTGATTATTTTATTCTCTCTCTCGCTCTCTCTCCCTCCCTATTTGATGATTTTTTTTTTCTCTCTCTCTCTCTCTCTTCCCCTCTCTCCATGTCTCCTCTTCTCTCTCTCTCATTCTCTCTCTTTCTCTTCCTCCCTCTTTAACTGTCTCTCTCTCTCTTCACCTCTCTCTTCCTTCCTCTATCCCTGTCTCACTATCTCTCTTTCTCTTTCCCTCTCTCTCTTCCTCGCTCTCTCTCTCTCTCTCTCTTCCCAATCTCTCTTCTCTCTCTCTCTCTCTCTCTCTCTCTCTCGTTTTGGCTCTTTCATTCTAGCTACGTCTTTGATGTATCAACATTTACCCGGACAAGCCCCACAATTTGATAGATTATAACCTGACGGCAAAGCTAATTATCCTTCACTTTATTTAGGGGATATAAAGAGGATAATGGATCGAAGAATTAATCTATCACTCTCTCTTTTATTCGATACCGACCGGCTGTTACCAGGGACTTACTGTTACTTAGCATAATGAAATATCATGTTTGTCCTGATTATAATTACCTTCGTTCGATAAATAACTTGTAGTATAAAAGACATGTTTAATAATCAAAACGAATATTTTCAATTAAAAAGGGAAAAAACACGATTTCAAAGGCGTTTAAACATGAATCACAAGGTTAATTTAAAAGCCTTAAAGTTTATTTCTTGAAAGTCTGTAGGATCGTGTATGAGGTCGATGCATCGCAGTGCTTGAGCAATTGAGTAAAGTGTGCCTATCATAGTTATTACATGCCTACGCAAAACAATCACAACGTTATTTCTGTCCGATGTCAAATTATAATTATTTATTTATTTATTTATATATTCGTGATTTCTTTCAACAGGGTAATCATATTGAACATGCCATTATCGGCGATGGTATAATGTGTATAAACAGTGTCTCCCACCATCGGAATTCACTCATCCCGATTAATACAATATTATTTTGTTTTCACATGTATTCCCCATGAACTCAAATCTTATTTATTAGCAAGTACGTAACCCCTGTATACTATTGTATGTGATAAAAAGACATTCCATTTTTTGTTCCTTATTCACTTATATAAATATATATATTTGTTTCGTTTTGTTATTATCCGGTAAATTATTATTATCCATTGCAAAAATATTTTAATTCAAACCTTTGGCACAGCCTCGACAAGTTCAAATTTGTTTGAACTTTTGCAGTGACCCAAATTCCATTTGATTTCTTTACCTTTAAATGTATTGATCAATGACCTTCTGATGTTTGTATAACTTGTATTTCTTTCTGTTTTACACTTGTAATATATTTTATATACATATATGTTTTATATTGAATGGAATGAATAAATCTTGAATCTAAGCAAAAGCATAAACTATCTCAGGAACAGTATCTCACATTACCACTGTTTTTCATTTTAGCTTGTTAAGCGAAAGCCGCATAGAAAGCAAAGTGCCAGAAAACAACAAATAAGGTATTTACTATACAAAATAATTTTCTGCGCAACACAATAGGGGTGTTATACTTAATCGTAAAGAGTGTTAATTAATCATCGATGACGAATTTCTAGCAAACAATCTTCATCGTTCCGTATTAATAAGAGTGGAGATGAACAAAGGACCGTAACCGTGCTCGATTTCTTCCAGGTTCTGTGGTACATATAGTCTACAACATTCAACATGTTCATGTCAAAGGTCAGTTAATGGAATTAACTATCCACCTTGCATTTTGTAACAAAGCTCAAATTTGAAGACCCTTTGACAAATGGAGGTGTTAACTATTGAATAATGGACAGTGAAAGAGCCTCTAAAGAATATTGTGTACGCCTCGTTCCACCAGTATACGATTATACAATTTGTTTGACGGCCCAACAAAAATGAACACAATAGTTTTGGGGTTTCATATTTTGAGCGTAGTCGGTTTTAACTATAGAACAGCAACAAGTGGCGTGCAAAGAAGGCCAGGTAAAACACCTTCTTATCAATAAAGATGATTTGTAGTAGTAGCTTTATTTCTTTAAAAGGCAAGGTGATATATGGAGCTATCTCATTCATAGTAACAGCAGCTGGATTATGGAACGGAATACCCAATGTTGTTAAGGAGGCAGTCACAGCTGACTAATTGAAAAACAGACTTAAAACTCATTTGCTCATGAGCAGTTTTCTTTAAGCTTCAATTTAGTACGTACCTGATTCAAATATAATTTCTTATTATTCTAATTCCTTATCCTCCAAAGCTTATGGGAACCGAAAAGTGACGATGTGTTAAACATGTATCGTTGATTATTATTATCAAAGAGATATAGCATTGTGTACTTACATTTCTGAAGTGAGAAGTTGTTATATCCATTTGTATGTACACAGTTGACAGACTTGTTGATGTCCACGTTTCCTGTCCATTGGTATGAGTGACAATTAAGCGAACAAAGTGACACTGAGATGTTCTCTCCTAATGCAACGATCTACCATCATCCACTTCACGGTATTCATCGTGAAGGCGAAGCATATTTTGCTGGTAGAACTACAGCTGTACTGTAAGTCTGTGACAAATGTTGCAGGTGTTCATCGAATAGCTATCAGCGGATATATAGAGCGCAGTAATTTAATAGTTTTTCATCTAGCGCCATCTACCATGTGTAGCGAGAAATGTTCCTTCAACAGAAATGTCTTTTTAAATGTCTTTTTATGTTCATGCCTTCTTCATGCATGCATGTTTCATGCTTTATTTGATGTAAATAGTAAAAGTTCATTTGTATTATTTAGATGTGAATGTAAAATCATATTCTATATAATAATATCAACATGCAGATTATTTTATGTCTTGATTTTGTTATTGTTTGCGAAAAGCAATGGAGAAAATAAAATATCATTGAAAACAAAAAAAGAAATGTTGAATTCACGATGGTTATCCCATCTTTTGCATTTTTATAAACAAATTCTCTTTCACATATTTTCCTTCTTTCGTCTTTCCCCTCCCCTTTTCTCTCTCCTTCTCCTTTTCTTTCTTTTTTCTCTGTCTATCTGTTTCTCTCGTTGTATTTATATCTCTATTGCTCTTTCTGACTTTCCTACTTTTACTCTCTCACTCTCTCTCTCTCTCTCTCTCTGCCTCTCTTTCTGTATCTCTATAACTGTCTACCTCTTACTATAGTTTCCCTTCTCCTTTTTAACCATACCAATGTATACTAATCCATTTCCGTATGATTACCATAGGCTCCTACTAACATGACTGATACGACCATCTCTCTCTCTCTCTCTCTCTCTCTCTCTCTCTCTCTCTATTCTTCTCTTTCTTTCTCTCTCTGTCTCTCTCCCTTTCTCTTTCCACTCTCTCCTTTACCCCTCTCCCTCCCCTATCTGTCGTATTCTCTTTATGTATCTCCATCTATTGTTTTATCTATTTCATATACATGTATAGGTTTATCTATATATTTATCATGCCTATCTATCTATCTCCCTCTTTCACTCCCACTTTTTTTCATTACCCTACTTTTACACAGTAACCCGATGCATTTTCCCCCAACCCAACACCATGTGTAACATTTCATTTCCCCAACATTACCACGTTAGCGCTCTAGCTACTAATATGAGCATCCAAATATTTACCCTCCAATAACTCGCCATCCAATCATATGCATGACAAATCTTGTTTTGTTCCTCGCACCTTTACAACAGGAATCTCACAACGTTCCGAAGACTGAGGGACATCACTTTCTATTGTGTACTCTGTGTTTCATATTGTAAAGATAACAAGAAGAAGACGAAGAGAGAGATTGAATTGAATGTTTATAGGAGGTTTTACAAGAAAGCGTGAAAAAAGGAAGCCGAAACGCAAACAGCTTAACCTCGCCCTTAACCATTTTAGAAAGTAAAGAGAAAATTGGATTGCATTGAAAGGATTGCAGGTGGAATATAGTCAGAAGGAATCTCCATTCCATTCATTAACAAGCAGGCGAAAAGAACTTTCATTAGATTGAAAGTTGGATCAGTATAAGCTTAGGCCAAATTTTTAAAAGGTGACAGAAATCGATACCATAATGTATATAATCACCTGATAAATATTTTATTTCAAACAAATATTGAAAATGGTAACAACTAGTGTTTATCAGGTCAAACATTGTGTACGCTTTAGGAGTACCCCGAGCTAAGGAAGGGGTAAGGGGGAGGGCATACAAATGCGAACCTAACCTAGACCCTACACGTATGGCGGGGGAAACCGTCTGTTCCGAATGTACCTTGTGTGGGTAATTCGTACTAATGCCCTCACTGCTGTGTATTATTTGTATATTATTCTCTGTTTTCAGTGCTCTTTCTTTTGAACCTATTCACCAACTGTTCCGAGAAATTATGCATACATCTAAGGCTAAGTTTGTGTTGAATCCAGTGGCGGATCCAGGGGGGGGGGGCACCCCTGGGAAAAAACGTGTAAAAACACGTTTAGTTTACCTTTTATTGGAAGATGGGCCCCTGGCGCTCAAGGGGGTGGGGTGTAATTTTTCAAACTTTTCGAGGGGCAAAAAAAAATAGTGCTCACTACCTCACGAATTGGGCCCCTCCCCTGCCGCCGGCTGGATCCGCCCCTGGTTGACTCTCCTCTCTCCTCAACATGCTGAAGCACAAGTTACTTGGGAATGAAATACCATGCAGGGGTAGATATTTTGTGCGACCTCTTGAATTCGTTTGACCAACTTGTTCATGACGTCCGTTCCTTTTACTCATAAGTTAGACCCCGCCCCCCCCCCCCTTCTCTCTCTCTCTCTCTCTCTCTCGTTCTTTCACATATTTTTACTGGTTTCATTGTGTTTCTGTTTCCCTTGCTTTGTTCTATTTATTTGTCGTGCACTGTGCAAATCTTTTCCCTGCGTCTGTAATTCTCCCATTTACCCGTATTTGTTTTCTTTCTAACAATACCTGGACATTGTGTAGATGAACTTTGTACAGGAGATAGATAGGCATGAGAGAGAAGAGCAAAGATGACAGAACTCACTTGTGATAAAAGATAAGTTAGGCCTATAGACTCTTAACCAGTCGCGTCCACGATACCATACAAGAAGTATCATTTAATATGTAAGCGCTTTGAGGCACAATTAATTATACACACAATCATTACTTGCATAATAATTAGCACTCAAACCACTTTATGACAAATCATGTCGTTGGGGCAAATGTGATCGTTAATATGTGTGTCTTTTTTATTATCATATAACATTAGGTCAAACATGATACGAGGCACCAAACGCCTAAATTAAGTCTAGCAATTCGCAATTACAGGTGCACCTCGGTGTCAGTGGAGAAGAAAGGAATATATACAATACTCTTGGAAAAAATACCAGTCGTGCTGTGATGAACAACGAATCCATTACTGATACGCACTTTTTGTTGAATTGGAATCGTATTGCTCAACGCTCTAACAAATAGGAACGTCTTTAAACTTGACGCATCAATTCTTCAATCATTCAATTCGCCCCCTCCTCGGGGTCGAGAGGTCAAGCTATCATAGCGATCATGTTCGTGGGACAATGGTTCGATACACATTCAGTTATCAAGGGAACGTCTGGGAAATTTGACTTGAAAACAGGGCTGTGAAAAACAGAGTGGCGGTCTGATTTGATATGCAAGATGAAAGCTACAGCTGGAGGGATGTATTGAACTTGAGTGCTTCGATAAGTTTCAAGATCAGGTAAGGAACTTAAGAAATTAATGTGAACTTCTTGCAAAAAATTAATAATTGTGGCTTCTATTCCTCGAACAACGTAATCAGAAAGATGTTCATAATCAACTCATGAGCAATTTAAATATCCTTTTATAATTCTTTAAAAGTGATGTTCGGATTATTTTAGTGGGATTTCCGTTTTCTTCCTGGCACATGCTCTCCAAGATGATTTATGTCAATATTTTGTTAACTTGGAAAAAATAGAGGAAAATCAATATTTCTTTGAATTATATTTATTCAGTTTAGTTCCGTACGGGGATTTCCTTTCAAGCCAACACAATGAATGTTGATGGACTCCTTTCAATGGAAGCCACACAACATGTAAACGTAAAATGATATGAGATGCATTTTTCATAACGAAGAACAAATTCAATTTAGAAGTATTGTAATGTTTGCAAAAGACTCATGAAACTGCCCTTATTAGACTGATATCTTAATCAATATATTTCTAAGTCTTTGCGATAGTGGTGGACCTTTCTTTTATTCGCTTTTATTTTTTATTTTTTAATTTTTATTATAATTTGGGGAACAATAACTATCCTCCATTGTGGATGGTGGTAACGGGAGTAGCTTGTAAATAGACAGATTTGAAAATGAGCCTGGTAGTAATATCCATCTAGTTTACACCAATGTAGTGAAATCATAATTATGAGTACACCTTACAAATCGACACCAATATGGCGAATTCATGATCATCAGATTAGGAAATACGATTTCCCACCAGAAACTACAAGTACATGTGTATGATGCAAGTCTTCCATTCACCATCGTTGAATAGCCATGCAGTCAAGTAGTCGATACAGGTCTTTGATAAATAGTTATCAAAGCGTTAAATGGAGTCATTTAGCTGACTTTCTTGTTTATTTTGACTGGGTTAATCATTGGACGTAGGCCGCGTAGCAACGGGTCATTAACTTCGCCTGAAGATGCTCCGCGAACAACATCGTTTAGAACCTAATTAGATCAGTGTAACGACTGTGTTTCTAAAGCTACGCTTTGATGCATGTTACATGACTATCTTGAGATCGATCATCACGAGTGCTGTACAAAATACAAATGTAAACATAATCGAAAAAAGCGAGCTCTTCAAACAAGATTTTTCAAGTGAGATAGAGCATGTAAATCAGTGACATATTGGATACAATATCAAGTAGAGTACACAAGAACAAAATGTATATATATATATATATATATAAACCTACATGGTACATTAAGTGGACATCATAAAAATCCAAGCCCTAACCCTAACCCAAATGTCCCTCCAATGACGCCTTTAGTGAAATTACATATATAGAGAGAGATATATAAACAAATTGGGCCTTCTATGAGAAATAAAACGTAAAAAACGTTAAGAGGACTTCAAATTGTCCTCCTTATGACAATGTCTACTTAATGACTCATTTTTTCACTCCAAATGTCCCTCTAATGACGCCTTTAGTAAAATATACATTATGTAAGAAAAGAATGGGATAAGGGTAAATTGAAGAAACATGGTAAACATGAAAATAGAATGAGTTGAAAGACGAGGCGGATTAAGAAATTTGGTATCGAACAAAACATTTATGATGGGTTTCTTAGAAACTATGCCATATTACAGTGTAAGAAAACTATATTAATTGACATGTAGTTAAGTAGCCAAAACGAATCTTAGAGAAATAGCTATCAAAGAGTAAAATTAAATCGTTAAGGCGAATTTCTTGTTTATTTTGATAGTGTTTAATCACTAGACGTAGGCAGTAGCAACGGGTCATTAATTGCACTTGAAGATTATTCGTGGACATTGTCGTTTCCAAACTAATTACAGCAAATGTGTGTGTTTTCTAAAACCACGCGATGATGCATGTCACATATGCTCTATATTGAATCACTCATAAGTGTAGTTAAATCACGACAAAACTTGAACATCGAAAAGACAACTGTCTAATGGAGGGAAAGCGAGAACAGTGTTGAAGAGAAAGAAAGTAAGAGCAGTAATTTTGTTTAATAATGCATACAAGAAGATAATTCGATGTACAAATAAAATGATATAGGCAAATATATATACATATAGACAGAGAGGTGTGGAACAATTGAGTGAGCGATTGTGTATCTAACAGAAGAAACAGAAATATTATGATTTCTTAAAAACTTTACATGTCATGCAAGTTTACATAGTATCTTGTACACGCGTATGATATAACTATCTTTATTGATCACATTATCAGCAAGTATTTGGCTGTAATTAGCGCTAAAGCAAATTTGACGAGCTTTGATAAGAGAGAATGATATATCATCGTAGTGCAAAGTGTAAACGCCAACACAAGGATTTGTTTCGAAGACACCGTAACAGTCTAAGATAATAGCGTTGCTAGAATGATAGCTTAAAGGTACAGATAGGGCATGCCTCCACCCCTTCCGCATTGAATAGTCAAAGCCCTCAAAACGAAAATAAGGGAATGGGGAATTGACAGTGACAAAATATCACACACCTCTTCCCACACGCTTACCAACTACATATGCTTTAGGAATATATATTTGCCATGATTCACTTTGCTTTGCAATGATTTAAAGTATTTCCTTGTTACTTACAGGACGCATCATGAATGGACCATAGTGATCTACAACTCAACCAATCATCCAAGATGTCTTCAGCAGCCGCAGAGTCAACCACTGTGAGTGAAGTGAGGAACAACCGTGCAGGAATCACCTTCGAATTTCCAAAGATACCCTGCACCAAGTTCAACGTCATAGGGAATTCTAAAATGAGAGCGAAACGGGAGCGAAGGCAGAGAGAGCCAAAGGAAGCTGTCTGGAGGGTGCCCAGACTGATACAGACTACCCTTGCTGCAGGGGTACATGGTGAGTCCCATCCGGACACTACGAACAGGGAGGCCAAAGACGGTATGTCTGTGAAACGTGGACGTCCCTTTTGGAAACAGGATGATCTGAACTCCCAGGACAAAGCGAGTCTGTATGCCGCAAGGTCTGAGGATAGTTTCAAAGGCTTCGAAGGCACTCACAATCCCAAGATGGTCAGTCTGATGGACGATCGCTTCAAAACTGAAAAGAGGTATATCGCTAGATTCTACCGCCAACGTAGCAGTGCTCTGTTGAGTCCCATCCTCAAGAAATGCCCTTCCAGGACATTCTCTATATCATTGCCAAGCGTTGTCCAGGAATATGACCTTACTGATGCAACCAAAGTTGGCCGTACCGGTCGCGCAGAAGAAAAACGGCAATCCACGATCCAGTTGGAGAAATACCACACAAGAGAATGCCTTTACTGCGACGTTGCAGGACAGAAATACTGCAGTGAGTGCAGAAGGAAACACCGTCATATCAAGATGAGAGAATCTAGTCATGAGAGAGTGAAATTCCCCAAGTTGCCATCTTGCCAAGTCCAGATAAAAGATCGTGAGGCGCCCTCTACCGACGAGGTATCGGGTAGCGTGGATCAGTTTGATGAAAGGTTTCATCGATATCGCAATAAGGATCGGAGAACCTCTTCTTTCTTCGATGAGCCACCAGCTCACTTTAAGGGCAATACGAAAGGAAAGGGAAGAAAAACCAAAGTAAAGCATACGATTCTACCTAGGATTTACCTACCAGCGATCACAAATGATAGCGATAATAGACATCTATAAAGAGACTAAGATTTTTAAATTATAAGACAGGTGGGTGTTTCACAAAACTTGTCATCAGTGACAAATGACAATTTATGTTTAAAGCTACTGAAATTCTTGCTTCTGATTGGTTATCAGCAGATTTGTCATGATTGATTTCTGTCATTTTTCATTGAAAAAAGGCTGTGTGAAACGATTCCAAGGACAGCACCCATTTCCATCGATAGTGAGAATGATTACTGCAACAGCCCCTGAGAGGCAAAATAGTCTAACTCACAACATCTCATTTTGAAAAAACATGATCTAAATTTCAAGCGGTATAGCTGATTAAACTGTCAATAGACGGCGTTAAAATAATGTCATTGGTTCCATAAAATACAAGGACCATTACATTTTCGACAAACATGTTGGTTAATCCACTTTGCCTCTGGGCGACTTTACTATATTAAAATTGTTTTAAACTTGGTTTCCTGAATTTTCTAAAGTTCATGTGGAAGAAGGTTGTGTGAACAAATTGTAAGAATCTTTTTGGGGAATGGTTTTAGAGAACAATACTAGTAAAAACCAATGAGGGAAAGGTTTTATGATACATTTTCCGAAGCTGCGCTCAGCTTCTGATGTTATCACTAATAAAATAAATAAATGTTGTAGCAGAATAAAGATTTACAATACGCAAATGGAATTCGTACGGTACAGCAAAATTCTTCGTTTGCTTGCAGATTAAATCTACATGTATATTATTTATACGTTTGTACTACAAAAAATGAAAAGTGAGCTTATGACTTTTCAGTAAGGCGATGAAATAAAAAATGTGCTAACAGTTAATGATAGTTGGTGCGTCTTTTTGTGTATTTTTGTCACGATTTATTATCTTGTCGGTTCTAAACTTATATTCGCTATTTAATGTCTACTGAAGAAAATGGTACATGATACATACTGTTATACTTGTGGGCAGATATCGCTCTTTAAACATGGTGGGCTGTGGTAAATAATCTAGCCTGTTTTGTTTCTGGCAATTAATTGTGATTAATCCTATCCAACCTGCCGCAAGCTGTGACCAAAAATCTGTACGCATGGCCATGAATACACAGAGTTTGGCCAACTTGGTTCCAGGCGTATATTCTTTTGTTTTGTGCTTGCCATATTGTGCCCAATCCGAATCGAGTTGGCTAAACTCTCCTAATCAATGGCTCTGTCCATACAGATCGATGATTTGCCAGGCATAGATATTCGGCTTGTAGCAAGTAGATTGAGATCGCGTTGCGGGAATAATGGAAACCATTCAAATCAAATCAGCCAAAATCTGGACTGGGAGGGGGTAGGGCACAATATAGCAATCCACATTTATCTAACAAACAAAAACAGAGGTTCCTTTCGTTTTAGAGTGCAGTTTTACTCCCCAAATTCGTTATTTTAGTGATTTATTTAAGTTGGTGCAATAATAACAGACCAGGAATATGCGAGCATTTAATATATTATGCTCCCCCCTTAAAATTATGAGGAAGACGGGCTTGCCCATGCATGGTGACATTGAGTGATGTACATAACATGTTACAAGTATCTGTTGCCCAATAATAAATATGAGATAGCGCCATCTATAGTTGTAAGTAACGTGAATGAGATTGGGCGATGAAAATAATCTGAACTTCACACGAGAATTTGCATTCTTAAAATGTGGAGTTTGACTTGAGAGTTGAATAATAGTGAAATCTTATCATTAGAAAAATGTATATGCAGTCTATGAGGTACAAGAATAACAAGGAAAGGAAGAATCTTTGAAAAGCAGATTGACTTTGGTGGAAGCAGAACAAAATCTGAACAATTTAAAGGGATCGTTTAACATTGTTAAATCTGAGATACACGGCTCTACGTGTTATCAGTGTCTGTGATATGGTGTAATATTGAAGCCCTAAAAAATTGCGCTTCAAAATGATCAAGAAGTGCCTCAAAAAAGTAAAAATCTTTGAGTGACCGGTTTTACCATACTCGTTTTCCCCAATAGACTGTTATGAAAACCGTCAGGCGAACGGTTTTCAAAATTTGTAATTCCAATCATAAATATCTTGATAATCAGACAGGCGATCGGCTTGTAAAAGTCATGGGGTTCCTGACTGACCTAAAGGTTTATAATTATCATTGCATCATGAGCTAAATCCAGAATTTTATTTCAGAATCTGAGACAAAGTTACCGGATCCCTTTAATACTAATCTCAGACACTATCAGACGAACAGTATGAAAATTGAAATTGTGAAAGTCAATATCCCTAATGATTTGGAAATTCCTCATCAAAAATGCTGTCGTGTCATATCTTTGGGATAATCCCATCTATAATATTCCAATTATATGGTGGAGAATACGTTTATTCGTGGAAAATTCGGTCATGTTGTATATATAAATTATATTATATAAAGTATATTTAAATTTTTAAAAGGTCAAAGATATTTCAAGAAAAAGAAAAGACAGAAACAAATTCAATAAAATAAAACACTATCTCTCTCTCTTTCTCTCTCTCCCCCTCTCTCTTTCTTTCTCTCTCTCTCTCCATTTAGTCTCCTCTTCCACACCAGGCCTCCCATTGTAATGACAACTTTTACTGTAGAATCTCATGAAACTGGTAAAACTGGTGTCCATCCTATATACTGACCTACAATCTCCCATATCAGACAGCATAATTTTGCTAGGGGTAAATGCGGAAGCTTCGAAAAGCCAACGAGACGACAAGAACATATTGTATCTTGTGTTGTATTTATTAACATTTATTTCCTTCTCAACAGTACAATATGAAACACAATGTATACATAAATTATATATGTAAAATGATTTCAACATAGAGTATACAGTAAATAATTCAAATACGGAAGGAGGCGATATTAAACCCGGAAAGCATAGCCTGAGTTAGGAACGCCCATAATAATTTAGGACAAGGAGATTGGAAGACAAGTTAAAAGACGGGGGACGAGTACTTTGGACTCGTCAAGTTGTAACAAATGATTTGACTTTCCGATTTCTAATAACTCGTTATCTTGTATTTTCATATCGTCGGCACTTTTCAGCTTTCGGAGGTAGCATTCGCACTTTGCCAAATACGGAGTAGCGCCATCTACTGGCTAGATGCCTGCAATAAAATTTGTTCTTCTTACATTTATTCAATTTCAGATACACGTCTCATTTAAAATTAAAAAAGGAAACTCAACCCGTTGATCTCCACTAAGATTGGAATTGCCCTGAAATTTGGATTAAGTATGAGCGATACATTTCATGGTGAAGATAGTTATAGGTAAAGTTTCAGGGTTACACCATGTCATTCTTTAAAAAGGGCTACTGAGCTCCGCTAAAAACTCTTGGTTTTCGACGTGTCGGTCATTATGCTCTGGCTGTCTTCAAAAGAATGCCCTGGATATGGTGTGTGATATGCCTGCGGTCTTCCAGAGCGAGCAGTTGTCAGACTATAACACCAGATTATTATCTTAGAAAGGTTTTATAAAGATTACTACCCCCATATGAAAAATTGCTATTGTATAACTTACGCCTCGGACAACTACTCCCAAATAGTCATGACGAGCTCTTTTTAGGTCAATACTCCCCACTCTTCAACTTCTGTGATCTGCCCACAGCTTTCCTGTTTCCTTCCTCCTTCCACGTCACCTGATTTTGTGGTGTACACATAATCAAAACAAAAAATAAAACCCGAAAATAATCTCGTGGAAGTATTTGAAGAAAAAAAGAATATTGTAAAACCTATTTGAAAAAGAAAAACAATATTCTAAAGTGGAGACAAAACATACACAGTATACAAGAACTTATTCCGTACACTAGACAGGTATTCAGTTATCATGTGATAACTGTTTTAAAAATATATAAAAATGATGTCATTAACAACCTAGGCCACTTATCCAAGAAAAGATGTTAAGAAAAAGGATTTTAAAGGGCCATGGTACACATTCTTGAAAACTTATCAAGAGTATTTCAGATTTAAATGTATTTCGTTCTGAATATACATCATACAACGAACCCATACTAAGTCATTCCCCCTAATCTAATGTTTTCAAAGTAATTTTTGTTAAATCTATTTATTTTTTTATTTATTCACTTGTTCCTTTGTTTTCTTTATCTATTTCGTTTTTATTTGTTTATTCACTTATGTATTCCGCTTTTCATCAATCTAAATTCTACCAATCATTTATCTATCTTATGTATGATAATATTCAATATTTGCTATGCACAAACAAAATAACCATTTTTTTCCGCGTAATAAATAATGATCAGAATGCCCATCAGCCATTCTCTCTGGGAATGCACTTCCACTATCAGAATTGCCGACAGAGAAAGATGGCCTCTGATTGTTCTTGGTAAGCGATGTAATCAATCAAATTTTCTTCATTGATTTATTCTGATGAGATCCCATGACTGAAGAGAGTATTCTCTGAACAAAATAAAATCCCGAAGCCAGATTTCAATCGTTATCCTCTTCCAGGAAATCCACCGAGGCATTTCAATCAGGGATAGTAGTGACTGACATCACCGGCGTAGCCCAAGTCCAGCCATTGAGGTTCACTGGATAAATCGTGTTGGTGTGTGTGTGGGGGGGGGGGGGGGGGGGGGGCTCTTACGATGAAAAAAAAACCTGGAAAAAAAATCAACCATAAATGGAAGGATGAGTGAGGGTGTATTTTAATTGCAACGACTGCCTCCAGTCCTCCCCTTCTCTCCCTTTTTCTCTCTCTCTCTCTCTCTCTCTCTCTCTCTCTCTCTCTCTCTCTCTTCATATCCGCCTAGCATTTGCATATCAAACCCTCTCTCCCTTTCTTTCTCTCTCCCTTCCCCTCCCCCCTACCCCTCCCCCTCTCTCTCTCTCTCTCTCTCACTCTCTCTCCCTCTCTCTCTCTCTCTCTCTCTATTTCTCCCTTCCCCTCTCTCTCTCTCCCTGTCTTTCACTCAACATTCCGTTTTAGTTTATTTCATTTTGAGGATCCCATGTGCCCCTCCCCCTTCCCTCCCCCTCCTCGATAACTATGCCACT